CACACACACACACACACACACACACACACACACACACACACACCGAGCTCATCACCGGTACTGGTGCACCAGCAGAGAAGGAAGGAAGTATGTCCACCTCTTGTGTATGATACAAAGCCAGGCCCAGGAGGGGACCGTGGGCAGGGTTCTGGGGGGCACAGATGCTTGTGCCAATTTCCTTCCCAGCCCATTTCTGTGAAATCCCCCCACCCCAAAAGAAGTAACTCCAGGCGGTCCCAGCTCACCCAAATAACTGAGTGGCATTTACTGAGTGCTGATGGCTTCACAGGCAGCGTATCACACAAGCCTTCCTACAACCCTACAAGGTGAGTGCACCAAAGACCCTATTTGACAACTGAGGAAACTGAGGCACAGGGAGGTTAATGCCGCTCCTCCAAATACCCAATGATCTAACCAAAAGCAACCTTCTTTAAAGCACCGAAGTGTAGAACTTAGGAGCATTGACTCAGAAGCCGAACTCGGGTTCAAATTCAAGCTCAGCTTCTCTGCAGCTGCGTGACCTATGGACAGCTCTCAGTTTGCTCACCCGTAAAATGGGAAGATGACAGTAACTACCTCCAGGTCCACAGACCTTACAGGGCTTGACACTGTGCCTGGCTCCTAACAGGACATAAAACGCAGCCGTCAATATTACTTCTGTTTTGAATCAGCTGCTGGTTCTTAAAGTCTGAACGTTCCAGGCCCCTCTGCGTGACTTGAGCAGAGAGCCACAGACACCATGTAGGGAGCTTGAGTGTCAGAAGCGCAGAGGGATGGGTAAATCGTGAGGCCTGTGTGAGCCATGCCGTCTTGCAGGAACAGAACCAGGCTTCCCCTTTGGGCCTCTGTTCCCTGGAAAGTGAAGTCCCCCCACAAGGATTTGGGAGGGAGGCAGAAGCTGAAGGCCTTTTTTGGTAGGTGAGCCTCGCCGCGGGCACCCGTCTCCCTCCTCTCCCCCCTCCCCAGGCAGGGGGCAGAAAGTGGTGCCGGGAGAATCCCCAGGGTGTCCCCATCCCCACCCCCCGCCTTACCTCTGCAGTTGCTTTCCCACAGCGTCCGTTACCAGCATGCCGTTCTCCACCTGCTTCATCTCCTTCCCTGGCCTGCCAACACCTGCTAAGCCTGGCAGAAGCGGGGAGGGGGAATCATGGCTTTAAGAGCTGGACACCAAAACCTGTCACTGTGCAGGGAGATGGCAGATAACCTGGCCTCCCGGAAGCTCAGAAAGACCTGCTTTGCTGCAGCCACGGACAGGCTCCCCAGCTGGGCTGCAGGAGATACTGGAACCAGCTTCCTTGGGGCAGGGATGGTGCTTTGCAACCGTCTCAAGGGCCCTGGGCCTGAGCAAGTGCCCTGTGCCAGCAGCGACCAGTAAAATCCAGTTCTGGTGATGGCATCTGTGCTGTGTGAAGCTCGGATAATGGAGCCAGGACACAGTGAACCACATGGGGGAAAGGGCACAGTCCTCTGGTCCCCAAGCATCCCAAGCAGGGGTGAAACCCAAAATAAATGACAACCAGTTTTGACAAGGGCATCAGACACTAGAGTCCCAGATGCCCCCAGCCAAGAGTTAACCCTCTGTTTGCCGGATCAAGGGGAGGGCCTGAAGATCGGGGTAAGGAGTACCTGGGACTGCTATAAGGCAGTGGCTGCTTTTCCAGTAATAAGGAACTATTTCAACACTTCAACAACTGATACAGCCACCACGGGGCACCATACCAGCCGGATATCTGCCCCAATCCCAGGAAGTATCTGCCCAGCATCAACAATGATCACCGTCACCTTAAGAACGGTGGCTAACATTTATCGTCAGCCACTGTGCTGTGTTGAAATACAGTCTCTCCTTTAATCTTCCAGCAACTCAGTGATACGTTTATTACCGCCCACTTTGCACTGATTTCCTCACTCTTTGATGCCAGGACAGAGAAAGCAGGAGAGAGAAGCATAAAGTAGGGCTCCAAAGGACTGACCCTGGAAGAGGAGGGGATGCAGCACAGACGTTATATGAGGGGATAAATACGCAGCCAGCAGTGACCCTGTGAACATGCTGATGTGACATGAATTAAAGCAGAATCCAGAAAGGCAGGCTCTCTCAGGCATCAGCCACAGGAAGAAACAGAAGATGGAAGGGAACCAGGGCTGGGGGGTCATTCCTGGGTTGATGGGAGGAGCTCTGAGCTGGTGATTCTCAATCTTGGCTGTGAATGAATCACCCAGGATGCCCTGGGCCAGCCAGGTCCCTGCACTGACTCTGCCAGGGAGGCCAACCTCCATGCTGAGAGCACAGTCAGGTAGCTGGGACGTGTGAGAAGTGTCCTCTCACTTCCCAGCTGTGGGTACTGCAGAAGGAATGAACCTCTGAGCCTCAACTTCCACATCTGCAAAATGGGAGCAACAACAGCACCCGCCCTCATTAGCGGGAGGGCGAAATGAGGGTGTGCCTGGTGCTCGGGAAATGTAAGATGCTGATGAGGCGCTTACTGTTATATCTGCATCTTTAAACGTGTCCCACAGGTAATTCTGGGGCACAGCCAGGACCGAGAATCACTGCTTTAAATGTTTCTTTAAATATCAGCATCCTTTTTTTTTTAATTGGAAAAAAACCCCTAAAACAAACAGAAAAGAAGACTGATAACAAGCGGGACTTCCCATGCAGCCGCATGCAGACAGTGCTCATATACATGCACAGCACTGGGGCCCAAGCCCGGCCTTGACTGTCTTGCTCTGTGCAGGGATGGGGATGCTTTAAAACACTCCCAGAGACACCCGTCCCGCGGCGGGTGCTTCAGAGAGCCCTCTGTCCTGCACGGCTGCCCAGGGGCCCTCTGGGAGCCTCAACTTTCCCTCCCCCTCCTGTTTTCCCACACAGTAGAGGCCCCCACATTGGCCTCCATGGCTGCCTCCCCGTCTTCTCCACCCAGTTAGCCCACAGGTGATACGCCAGCTGGAAAATACTCGTCTAAAAGGGAGGGACCGAGAGTCCTAGGAGGGAACCGAATGTGTGTGCCGCAACACCCCATAATTTTCAGGGGCTTAGTCCCCTTCCTCCCGAGTCTCCCAGGCCTGTCTGCCAGGATGCCCAGGCTCCCCGCCAAGGGGGAACCTGCCCAAGGCCAGCCTATCAGAACCCCTCCCCCCGGCACTTTCAGCCAGGGACCAAAGATCTGTACAACTGCTCTGTCCTAAAGGAGTCTCATGCCCAGAGTTCCCACTGCCTGAGTCCTGCTTGTTCAGTTTTGCCTTTGATTTCTGAGCTGGCTGTAAACACCCTTGTTTAACTGGCTGGAGTTGGCTCCTGTGGCTTCCAAAAGGGGCCTCTGTCTGGACCCTCAGCCACACGTACCGGTTACGGAAGACAGGAGGGAGGGATCTGCTCTGGTGGCGGGTTCACATTTTTCTGTCACTAGAGAGAGCCAGGGCAGCCTTCTCTGCTGAAGTTCTTCTAGAAACATCCCACCTCCGGTGCCCCAGCCACCTGCAGCTACTCCATCAGGAACCCATCACCCCGGTGCTGTGTTGGCCTGCCTGGGTCTTGATCATGCCCCGGAGGTACGGGTGGGGTCGTTATAATCAAACTGTTACATTCATTGTCCACCTACTGTGTACCAGGCATTTCGCAACCAGGATCTCCTTCAAGGCATGCTGGTCATGGTCATTTGACCTGCAAAGATGGTAAAGCTTAGCTGAGGTCACTCAGCCGACCTGTAAGAAATCTGGAGATTTGAACTGTATCCCCAAGGGTCAACCACAAAGCCGGGCACAGAGCAGGTGCCCAATAAATGCTGGAGGAATGATGGAAAGGGATGGAAAGGCAGACATTCAAGGGTCCCTTCCCAGGCATGCAGCAGCAGGACAGGCCCATCTGCAGCCTCATTCTGCAAGCACAGCCCACTCCACCTCGCTGTCACTGACCTTCCTCATCCATCACACTGGTGCCTGGGAATTCACAAGACCCAAGAAAGCGTTAAGTACCAAGGTAAAACCCCCCAGCCTTGAGTTCCCCCACTTAAATGCCCAGAGGGTTTGGATGAATGTCTTTCCTTAAGGGTGAGGGGCAAGGACAGCTGAGGGACCTGCTGCATTTGTGCCTCAGTTTCCCCATCCCACGTGTTCTGGGCGCATCCCTGACAAGTGCACTGCCTGGGCCAGCCCCCTACTCTAAAAGCTGCAAGTGTTCAAACATAAAGAGAGCTAGAAAAATGCAGACAGACCTTCTGTCTTCATGCCTATTTTCCGGGCACCACAGGGAGAGAGAGAAAGTATTACAGACCGCAGGGCAGGTGTGCCAGCTGGGAGATGGCACAGGCCTCTCACCAGCCCACAGCCTCTGCTTCTTCAAGGACACGAACACCTTGCTCTGAGCCAGCTCCACGTGGAGAGAAGGGGGAAGAGGAGGTGACTTGGCTTAGATATCATCTTGGACCCTCCAGGCTGGGACGGGGACCCCATCTCAGGGTTCTTCCAGCTCCCCAGGCTCGCCTCCAGCACCGCGTTTAGCACGATGATGTCCCTGATTATTTAGTGTTTGTCTCCCCCATCATACTGTGAACTCTTGAGACCATTCCTAGGTCTTATCTACCACTCTACTCCCAGCACCTGGTGCATCCGATGGTCATGTGGGGTTGCACAGGATGTGCACTGCACAATCCAAGGGGCACCATTTCATATGGTGGCTCATGTACCAGATGTCCCCGTGGCACACAGCAGATAAGCAGATGGACGGATTAACAAACGAGTGGCCAAGGGAACGAGCAGAGCCACCTTCCAATGCCAGAAGGGGCACAGTATGGGCCACAGTGGTGCCACCTCCTAGCCTGAACCCACAAAGATGGTTTCTAAACCAGTCCTGAGAGAAATGGGCAATACCAGCTCATGGCTCTTTCCAATCTGGGATATATACACAGATGTGTTAATGTCCGATGGTTACGCAGGGCATGCCTTAAACAATCAAGATGCAACTCATTCAGTCACATATTTAACACATTTCCTGAGTATCCACTCTGCGCCAGGCACTGTTCTCAGCCCTGGGGATACAGAGGTGACCAAGAAAACCTTCATGGAGCTTAAATTCCAAGGGAGAAGAAGAAATGATCAAGTAGTAGATCCAGAACATACCGTCAGGCAGTGTTAAATGCTACAAAGAAAAATAAAGCAGGGGAAGGAGAAAATATGAATGGTGGGGGGTTGGGAGAGGGAGGGTGCTATAAAATAATAAAGAAGCAAAGACATAAAACTTGCAACCCAATGACTCTTCTTTGAGTACTTCTAAGCACCAGGGACAGGCCTGTGATACTAGTAAGCCAGGCGCCACCCCAGCCCTTGAACCACATACCTAAGCACTGCCCGGGCCGTGTGTTCAGCCAGCCACTGACCCTCAAGGCGGGCACCTCGCAGGCTCGCTGTTTATTCTCAAGAAGGTTCTGGAACTCAGCTTGGGCAAGAGCCAGCAGGCAAGCCTCCCCCTTGAGGGAAGAATTCAAGTCACTGCTTTACAGTCAACGGCTGGTTTTTGACCAAAAACGGAATCGATCGGCTACATCACCCAGCCCTATCCTCCCGCCTCGGCCCTGCAAGTTCTTCAGACTCAAAAGGGGAAGAAACACGGACACTGAGGACAGCAGGGAGGAATGTGCCATCTGTCTGACAGACTCTCCAGCTGCTGTTCGGTGCTTACAACAGACTTCTGCAACACGGGGAGGTGCCTGGGGCCTGACGTTAAGAAACAAAAGAGGGACAGGAGAACTGATGACAAAAGCACGCCCTAGGACCCTGCTCTTCTCAGGGAAAAGGTCCTGGGCTAGAAAGACAGGTGGGAAAGGGGCCAAATGCCAACGCAGTTCCCCTCTGGGCAGTGCAAGAGCAGAAGGATGTTCTTTTTTGCTGGTTCTTGGAGCTTTTCTACACTTTGCCATTGTCTACACGGAGCACATGGTGATTTTATAATCAGGTAAAAAAAAAATTCCCCAAAAAATCTGAAAAAAGGGAAAAAAATGAGTGACAAGGTTGAGAGATGTCTCGAGTAAGGTTCTGAAAAGCAGCCAGGTCGTTGGAATCAAAGTCTTTCTCCCAAGATGACAAGGGAAGAACCTGGGCAGAGAGAAGTCAAAGCAGAGTGGATTTCACACCCTCGGCTCTACTGACATCGTGGGCTGGGTCATTCTCCGTTCCTGGGGGACACAGGGGGTTGCCCCGTGCACTGCAGGTTGTTTAGCAGCATCCCTGCTCTCTCCCGACTAGATGCCAGGAGTGTCCCCCTCCACCCACACTGTGACAACCAAACATGTCTCCAGACATTGCCAAGTGTCCCTGGGAGGCACAAATGTTCTCTACTGAAAACCACCATTCTAGGTTTTAGGTTTCTAATAAAGAAACCAGAGAAAATGAAAATGTTCTATACCTTCCAAGTACAAGGTTAACGAACTACTTTGTAACTCTCTTTGCAACCAAAACCAACAAACAGAAAGTCTCCTAGAAACAGGATCATGCATATCCCTGGGGAGGGGTCAGTCTCCCCCGACCCCAAGCCTAGCTACTATTCCCCGTTCCAGGGAGAAAGAATCCCCTCACAGCAGACACTTGTCCTTCAGCCTGTGTGTTCTAAAAAAGACCTGATTAATCCAATGAGGAAACAAAAGTTTCCCTTTAGAAGGAGCCAAAAATGTGGTTCAAACAAATCCAAGGTCACTGGCACTCAGAGTTGACTACAGCTGAGCAAGTCTGGACCCTGACGCCAAGCCTTATCGCTGGGGCCCCTCCACAGAGGCGGAAAGAAAGGGGGGAGGGCGTTTGATTTTTAGACCCATGGGCAGAAGACCTCTGTGACCTGTCCAGCTTGGGGATGGGTGGCTGAATTGGGGAAATAAACCCACAGTGGAGCTAGGGTGGTGGATGGTATTTTCACCACTAAATTAAGTGCTGACGTGCACACAAAACTATTTTTTTTACTGGCAGCATTCCATGTTCTGCATAACCTGCTTTGGATATGCGGGCGGCTGGGGCGGAAGGGAAGGGAAAAAACTCAACAAGATATAAGGACAGTCCCTGCTCAGCTGGATAGAAAGGGGAGACAGAGACCTCATTCTGGGAAAAAGATTCAGATAAACCCACACACGTCACTTTAGAAAGCATAGTGGGTTATTTTTGCCTACATGCAGCCCACCAAGCAGGCCGGTGAAATACAGTGATCTTGAAGTTGCCACCACCCATCGTGTGACCTTGGCTTGACTTGCGCTAAGAGACAATCTGAGGAAGGAGACTCTGCAGCAAGAGGAAAGCAGCTTAGACTTACAGCAGAACCTTCCAACCACAGGAGCATGAACATGTAGAAACTCATTCCAACCTAGAGTTTAAATGCTGGAGGGAGCGTCAGCTATCTTGCACTGGCAAAAGAAAATACTTTTCTTTTAAAACCCCTAGGGTTTGTAGCAGCACTATTCATAATAGACAAAAAGTGGAAACAGCTCGAATGCTCGTCAGCTGATGAATGAATAAATAAAACGTTGTGTGTCTACAATTCAACAATCAGAAGAAATGAAGTGCTGATGCAAGCTACCACAGACAGACCTTGGAAACATCAGGCTAAGTGAGAGAAGTCAGGCACAAAAGACCACGCTAAAGAATTCTGTTTATATGAAATGTTCAGAGTAAGACAAATCTATACAGAAAGCAGACTTGAGTGGCGGTCGCTTTGTGATGTATAGAAATATCAAATCACTGCACTGTGCACCAGGAACCAGCATAGCGTTGCAGGTAAATTACACTTCAAAAAAAACCAAAAGAGAGGGTTTCCCTGGTGGCGCAGTGGTTGAGAGTCCGCCTGCCGATGCAGGGGACACGGGTTCGTGCCCCGGTCTGGGAAGATCCCACATGCCGCGGAGCGGCTGGGCCCGTGAGCCATGGCCGCTGAGCCTGCGCGCCCGGAGCCTGTGCTCCGCAACGGGAGAGACCACAATAGTGAGAGGCCTGCGTACCACAAAAACAAAAAACAAAAAAACAAAAAAACTACGAGGACTCCAGCAATCTCTAACACAGAGGAATGAAGGTGTGCACTCTTGCTGTGTGCGCTCCCCTTTCTGACATTCAGTGGCTTCCTGCTGCACTGAGAACAAAACCCAAACTCCTCACTCTGAAGGCCCCGAAGGGTAACCACCCACCCCCCTGCCAGCCTCGTCTCCCACCCTGTCCCTTGCCCACCACGGTGTGGCCACACTGGCCTCTTCTCTGTTCCTTGAACAGACCAAGCTCACGCCGGGCTGAGGCCTGTGCTGTTCCGTGTCAGAACACTGTTCCCCACAAAGGGCTTCCCTGACCACCCTGCCTGAGTTGCCCGAACCCCCATCACTCCCCAGCCCATTACCCTACGTGCTTTCCTTCACAGCACTTAATGCTGCATGACACCATCTTCATCTGCTGATTGCTTACTGCCTTTCTCTCTCACTAGATTCTGAGCTCCACGAGGGCAGGATTTGCCTATATTTTGTTCACTTCTGTCTCCTCAAAACCTAGAACGGTACTGTTATGGGCTGAATTATACTCCCCCCGCCCAACTAAATTCATATACTGAAGTCCTAACCTCCAGTATCTTGGAATGTGACTGTACGTGGACATACAGTCTTTGTAGACGTAATAAGTTCAGGTGAGCTCATGAGGATGGACCCTAATCCTATATAACTGGTGTCCTCATAAGAAGGGGAGATTTGGAGATAGACACACCACAAGGAGAAGAACACCATGTGAAGATGAGGGTGGACTGAGGTGATGTTTCTGCAAGGAATGCCAGAGATTGCCAGCAAACCACCAGAAGCTGGGGTACAGGTATGGAACCCTCACAGCCCTCAGAAGGGACCAACCCTGCTGACACCTTGATCTCAGACTTCCAGCCTCCAGATCTGTAAGAAAAGGCATTTCTGTTGTTTAAGCTACTCAGCTGATGGTACTCTGTTACAGTAGCGCTAGGAAAATAATACAAGCACTTAACACGTATTAGGTGCTCAGTAAACACCTACTGAATGACTAAATCAATGAATAGTAAATAGCTTTCTTAGTGATCGGCCCCATTCACAGGGACAGGGACCCGCCTGCCCCAGGCATAGAAGGGACAAGCTTCTTTAAGCCTCAGTTTCCTCACCAGTGAGCTGGGAACCACATCCTACCTCTTTCATGAAAAGCTGGTAGGAGGAGTCAACAGGATAACCCCTGTTGAGGACAGAAGCCCCAGTAAGTAGTCAACAACCATTCACTGTTGTGTGTCTTTACATCACAGACACCTCGATGACAACTCTGCCCACAGGAGTTGTGCAACGAGGCAGTCCTGCAGCCCCACCCTGGGGGACAGCCAAGCTGAGACCTGTTTGGGGACTAAGTATGTAACAAACACACCCCAGACACTCAGGGAGTCTGTAATTAGCTCCTGAAAGAGGGAGATCGGAGTAGGACAGGTGACCTCTCTTTAGTTCCACTCTTTTTAGCAACAGCTGAACCCAAAGCAGAAGAGGCATCAGGTGACCTCTTCCCTCTCCGTATTAACTCAGGTCGAGGCTCCGAGGAGGACCGGCAGAGGATCCATTCCAGACGCCAATCTGACATAAACACAGGGGAGCCTGGAAAGGCTACCAACCAATTTCCTGAATTTTAAACCGACGAATAAGAGAGAGAACAGGATTCTCATAAGCCTCACCCCATTTGCTTCAAATAAAGACAGGATGAGCCCCCAGCCCAGAATTCAAAGCGTACCTCTGGGACTATCCCTGCTCTCAGAGTCCTGACCTGGGAGGACAGAGCGGGTGTGGTGGCTGGGAAGCGGGCAGGTCTACCTGGACCTGGTAGATGCCAAGTGCATGGGGACATCAGAGGGGCACGCTTCCCAGGGGAGTAATAACAGCAGCTGTCATTGGTACCGTGCCAAAGGCTCCAGTAATCTAGCACATGCATTCCACACCAAGTGCCAGAAGGTTGGTTCTGTTGTTACACTGCTTTATCAACAACGGCCTGACATCACACAGCTGGAAAGGGCAGCAGCTGGGGTCTGAAGCCAGGTCCTGCCAACTTCCAGCCTGCAGGCTCTGCCACCACGTATGGCCTCATGACCCTCACATCTATCTGTTCTGGATTATGGCACATATGCCATTGGCTTCTCACAGCCTCTTGGGAGCCAGGAGGACTGTAACTATCACTACCTCCATTTTTGCCACTGAGACCCTGAAACTCAATAGGCACAGAGCCTCATCGCAGAAAAGTGTGCGGACTTGCGTCCAGCTCTGCTGACCCGGCTATAAAGCACTGGGGCCCCCTCTCAATTCAGCCCAGAAAGTCCTTCCAGATGGTTCCTCAGGGTGCCTGGCCCAACCCCCCATCTGATGCCCTGATGAGCTGCTAGGGTGGCTGGTGGGAACCTCCAGGGGACAACTGGGGCTGGACAAGGCACCACCCGCGCCGGGGCCCCGCGCGGCCCTACCGTCGTCGGGCTCCCCCTGCTCCTGCTCGCCGCTGGCGTATGTGCGCAGGAACTCGGCAAAGGCCCCGTCCCGGGCCAGCAGCTCCTGGTAGGAGCCCATCTCGGAGATCTTGCCACCACTCATGACGATGATGACATCCACCTGGGGCAGGTAGCTGATGCTGTGCGTGACCAGGATCCGCGTCTGCGGGCAGAGCCACGGCCACATCAGCTCATGCACGCGAGAGGGAAATTCCCTGCCCCCCTCCGCCCACCTGGACACAGATCTCAACTCTGAGGTTGGACACGCGCCTGGGATGCAAGCGTGCAGAAGCATTCCAATCCGCACGTGCTTTCATTCAACATGCATTGGCCGGGAGCTGGGGTCGGGGAGGGCAGCAGGGAGGGAAACAAAGATTTCTGCCCCAGATACCAGGGTCGGGGGAGAAATGACCAACGTAAGTAAAACACTGTGCTGGATGGTGAGCACACATTAGCAAAGGGGAAGGGATATCGAGGTAGTTAGGGGTGGTGAACTTTAACAAGGGTTATGGGGGAGGTTATTTTTAAACAAAGATCTGGAGGAGAGGGAAGGAGGGAACCATGCATGTGTAGATGAATAAAAGAATGACACTGCTGCAAAAAATGTGCAGGCAGTAGCTGAATTTTTTTCAAGTTTCTCCCTCCCCAAAAAGAGTACAGAGTTTTGTACATGTGTATACATTTTATCTAACTATCTCAAAGTTTGGGAGGATGTTCATCAAACTGTTTACACAAGTTGGCAAACTTTTTCTTAAATGGTCAAATGGTAAATATTTCCAGCTTTATGGGCCCTCTGGTCGCTGCCAGGTCTGAAGGCAGCCATACACAAGACATAAACAGATGGGCTGGCTGTGATCCAATAACGCTTTATTTATGGAAGCTGATATGTAAGTTTAATGCAATTTTCCTGTCACAAAATATTTTTCTTCAGGTTTTCTCCAAGCAGTTAAAAAACGTAAAGACCATTCTTAGCTAGTGGGCTGCCCAAGAAACAGGCAGCAGGCCAGATTTGCTGGCCCCTGCTTTCCACAGAGGACCTAGGGCTGCAGGATGAGGGAGAATCATTTTTTTAACTTTACATATGCTCTCGTACTCTCTGGTTTTGTTACTATGGACATATGTTACTTTGACAACAGCAAAAAAATTTTTTTTACTATTTAAAAATTATACAGAATTTTTGTGGTGTGCATGGGAATGCTTACAACACATTAAGTGGCATGAGGTTTACTATATCTAGGCATGATGTGATAATCCTATTAAAAAGCTTATATACACAGCAAAAAGACTGGAAAGAAATACAAAAATCTCCAAGTGGGGGGATTATGCATAACTGCTTTTGTTTTTCTCCTCCGTGGTTTTCTGAATTTGCTACATTTTTCCCACGGGCATGTCTTACTTTTTTAATGGGGGAGGGGGAAGAAGAGCCAGTTAACCTCCCTCTCCTGTAATTCCCCTAAACAAATAAATTAAAAAGTAATAAAAGAGGAAAGGAACCGTTTCCTGTCACGTTAAGGTGTGGTGGCAGTTTTCCTGCTCAAACCTCTGTCCCTCAGCCCATGGCCATCTCAGCAGGGAAGGGAAAGCAGCCTCCCTGCTGACAGGGGATCTTGGGGTGGGATTTCCCTCTGCGAAGCCACCCCCCGTTATTTAATCAGGAAGAGAGGCTTCTTTTGGCCAAGTGGAGGCAATGACTTCCAGTCAGTGCCGAGGACGTCCGCCTATAAAGACAAGAGCAAGAAGGCTGTTCCGGGAAGGCTGCCAAGGGAAGGATTAGACACATGTTCTCGAGTCCAGTTAAGTTCAGGTATCCCAAAGGGGACACACTGCGACTTGACCAAAGAGCGACGGCCAGACCCAGACCCCGAGCCACACGTGCAGCAGGTACCTTGTTCTTCAGCATCCCCTTGGGGCCAACCACGTTTTCAAATATGTGCTTCCCCACGTGGGCGTCCACTGCCGAGAGGGGATCGTCAAAGAGGTAGATGTCGGAGTCGCAATACACGGCCCGGGCCAGGCTCACGCGTTGCTTCTGGCCGCCAGACAGGTTCACGCCCTGGGGAGAGACACGTTAGAAGGGTGGGCCTCCTGGGAAGCAGAGACAGACAGAGGGGGCCACCTGCTCGGGATGCAGGAGACGGCGGCCGTAGGCCCTTCAGGGCTGCACCCGCCACCCACGGATGGAGCAGGTGGCAACGGCGTGAGATCACAGCTGCACCGATGTGGGTTCCAAGTGCCGGCAGGGGGTGCGGCCTCAAATGTAAAACAGGCAAAGAGAAAACCTGAGCCTCCGGGCACTGCTGAGCAGGGTACTCGGCACAGTTGGGAAAGGGAGGCCGGTGGCACCAGACAGTGCTGGCTACAGGGAGGGCTCCTGATCTTGGAGTCTGGTTCTCACTCTGGATCACTCACTGGTGAAGCCACACAGTCAAGGCAGGCTGTGCCCTGGGGGTGCTGCAATCCAGCCTGTGTCCCACTCGCCGGCAGGAAGGGCACCATTTTCTAATTTGAACCAGGGGGCATGGCCCACACAGCCCTCCTGCAACAGATAACCCAGCATGACTTCCATATCTGGCTGGAATCAAAGTGGACATGGGCTAACTGCCCAGCCCCTCTCCCAAGAGATGCCCACCCTCTCCATGCTCTGAGGTGGGGTCCTGGTAGCCAGGTTCATTTTGAGGGTCCCTCTGGCCACAGCTTGTTGGCCCAGGGCAGACACCAGACCCAAACTAAGCCAATCATGTCCTCTCCCTCCAGAATTTGGTACTGGGACCTAAACAGCGAAAGTGAGGAGTCTCCAAGTGGCAGAAACAGACACTTGTGAAAAAAAGGGACAAAGCTGTGCAGAAAAGCAGAGACAAAAGACAGAGGAGAAACCAGGTTGCCTGTCCCAGGTTGCCTGTGAGCCCCACCACATTCCAGCCCTTGGATTCCAGAAAATGCATTTGTATCCTTAAACTCAGTTCTCACTGAGTTATTTTCTGCTTATACTAGCAATAACTCAGGCTCCTTTTCTACTTAAAAATCCAGAAAACCCTAGTAATTTGTTTTTTCTTTCCAAGGAGCTGCAGATTTCCCTCAAATAAAAGAAATCATTCACCAACTAGGAAAGCTGGTGGAGCCACTGGCTTGTAACTAAAAGCAAAGATGGGAAAGCTCTTCGGTGCAGCTGTAGAACATTCACACTCCCCGAGCGCACACCACGTAACCACTAGGGGGCACTCGAGCAAGCCAGCCAGGCAGAGGGGAAAGCACATGCAAAGGCCCTGAGGTGGGAAGGGGCTCAGGCAAGTCTTTTGGCCTCCTTTTCCTCAACCATTACATAGGGTTAACAGTAAATCCCATCTCGTGGCTTGCTGTAAGGACAAAATACGTATAAAATGTTTAGCACAGTGCCTGGCTCATAGTAATTACTCAGTAAGTGTTAGCTATTGTATTATTTTTACCGTTATCACAGTTTTGAAAGGAACTGTGGACATTTGAATCATTGACACCCCTCTTCTCTGTATAGTGCCCTTGGTCATGTGACAAAGTCACATGACTGCAAAGGTAGAGTGCACTTCCTGGTCCCTTGTCTTTGGGCTCAACCAAGTGATTTGCTTTGTGGGTAGAAAGGACAGTGTGCGTTAAGGGACATCACTTTTTTTTTGTTGTTCTCTTGGGCTTCTGCTGCCGCCATTAGAAGAGCCTCCCCCCACCGTGGAGCTGCTGCTCCCTCACCTAGGCCCTAGCAAGAAGCCACGTGGGGAGACCTGAGCCAACCCACAGCCTGGAGCCAGGATCAGCTGGCCGGCAACATGGAGCAGAGCCACCCAGCTGAGCCCAGCCTAGGTCACCAGTCACAGTCGACTCACCCATAAATAGGAGAGTAAGTGTTTAACATCATAAGCCATTCAGATTTTGTAGTTGTTATACAGCAACAGCTGACTGATACAGGGGCCATGCTGAAGGCTACTGACCTTCTCACCAATCTCTGTCCGGTCCCCACTGGGCAGGATTTCCAGGTCTGGGAGGAGGGCACAGGCTTCTATCACAGCCTTATAATACCGTTCCTGTAGCTGGCGTCCAAAAAGGATGTTTTCTCGGAGAGAAACATTCTGAATCCAGGCCTGCTGGGGGACGTAGGCCACTGAACCCTAGGAGGAAAGCGGAGAAGGCAGCAAGACCGACAGACTTGGTGAACAAGACAGCAGCCGGCCTACCCACCCACCAGGAGGGCCCTGCTTCACAAGACATTTTCATCATATCTATGGTTTTAACAAGAGGGAAGCCGAGTCCCAAAGGACTACAGTCACCAGGGCTGGGACCAGAGCCCATACTAGGTCAATCACTAGCCCCAACATTAGGAGTTCGAGAGCTGAAATCCTCGTTGATGAGATTACACTTACATGTTTAGTAACTATTCACTGAGTGCCTACAGCAGCGAACAAAACACTTAGCTCCACTATACTGTACACCTGTAACTTATAAAATATTGTACATCAACTATACTTCAATTTAAAAAATTGAAAAAGAAATTAAAAATAAATTTTAAAATAAACAAAAACCTCCTAACTCCAAAGAATGGGAAGTACCTGAATGATAAAAGAAAATGGTTTGATTATTGTTGTGGTAAATGCTAAGAGAGAAAAATATGAGACTTTTAAAAAGTCCTTTAAAAAGGGAGACTTAACCTATAATGGAAAAGAATCTGAAAAAGAGTGTATATATACACATACAGCTGAGTCACTTTGCTGTACACCAGAAACTAACACAACATTGTAAATCAACTATACATCAATTAAAAAATAATACTTTTTTTTTTAAAAAGGGAGACTTAGGGACTTCCCTGGTGGCACAGTGGTTAAGAATCCACCTGCCAATGCAGGGGACACGGGTTCAAGCAGTAGTCTGGGAAGATCCCACATGCCGCAGAGCAACTAAGCCCGTGCGCCACAACTACTGAGCCCACGCGCTGCAACTACTGAAGCCCATGAACTCTAGGGCCTGTGCTCCGCAACAAGAGAAGCCACCACAATGAGAAGCCCGTGCACCGCAATGAAGAGTAGCCCCCGCTCGCTGCAACTAGAGAAAGCCCGCACGAAGCAAAGGAGACCCAGCGCAGCCAAAAATAAATTTAAAAATTTTTAAATAAAATAAAAAGGGAGACTTAGTCTGAGACATCAGGGAAGGAGTCCTTGAGGAAATTTCCTTGATGAAATTTAACCAAGGATGTCTGTATAAAAATTGTCCATTTCTAAAGTCTTTGTTTCCATATAATATCAAGTGTCAAAAGTGGCACAAGAATAAAGGCTAGGGGGAGGGCACTTGTTTTACATATTTTAGTAATTGAAAAAAAATTTTAAACAAGCACCGACAGGTGAAAATAATTTGGTCTGATCAAGAGAAGAGGGAAGAGCATTTCAGTCGGAGGAACAGCACATGCAAAGGCGTGGAGATGAGTGGAACTTGGCAAGTTCAAGGAACAAGAAGCCTGGTTGTGACAGGAACATGCTGTGAGGGGAAGACAGGCAGGAATGAGCTGGGAGGCAGGGGAAGGCAGGGGGGCTGGTGGTCCTAGTGAGGGGTATGGGCTTCACTGGAAAGGCAAAGGGGAGCCATCAAAGTTTCTTCAAAAAGGGATTCTAGGAGGACAAGGCTGGGAATGGAACCCAGGTCACCCAACTCTTCTCCTTCATTCTGAGATAAATAACCAAATTGCTGACTCCAGTCTCCTAACTTAAAGGGGCCAAATTATCACAAAACCTCACTGTACAACCCACAGATAATTCAGACACAGTATGCACAAGCCCTACCAACTAAAATATTTAGAAAAAAATAAACGTTTTAGACACATTTCTAACACTCCCCTTACCAAGGCAAAATAACCAGTCACAAATAAATCTATAACCTTATCAAACCAAATACTCAAGCACCCTCACTTTTTAGAGCCATCATATCTTTGTATTTAAAGCGTTTTTACTTGAAAACAGTGGTTCTCTCCTGGGGGCAATTTTGTCCCCCAGGGGACATCTGACAATGTCTAGAGACACTTTTGGCTGTCACAACTTGGGGCTGCCGCTGGCATCTAGTGGGTAGTGGTCAGGGATACTGCTAAACATCCTACAATGCACATGACAGCCTCCACAGCAGAGATTACCTGGCCTGACATATCAATAGGGCTGCAGTTGTGGAAACCCGGGGTTAGTGAAACAGAACGCAATGTGGATCCCACCGTGATTTGGAATTTTCTTCCATTAACCTAGCTCACATTGCCCATTAATCTTACTTTATAATGTATATTTGAAAGTAATGACAGATCATTTCTTAGAACAAGGGCTAAATGTCATTAGTCTGGACCCAACTATTGTAATATACGCTTTCTCTAAGGCACACTAGGCTCAAGGGCATCATATAATCAGCAAAGGATTTTGCTCTGAAATGAAAACAATGGCACAAACCAGCATCCCCAAAAGCAGATTCCAGGAGACAGTAATTTTAGGGATTTACGGAGTTGCTACACCAAACAACCAAAAGATGCAGACAATTGTGTCTGGGACACGCTGGATTAACCAAAGTTAAATAGGTTTTTTCTCCTTGCAGGACTTCTCAGAGCCTTTACTTTATTAATGTTTCTTATAAGTCTCCAGGAGGGAGGGAATCAGAATACGCAGTATTTCCCAAGCTTGTTTGAGCCCAGGACTCTTTATTCCCCAAATGTCCTGCAAGATGAGTTTGAGTTTGCTGCAGACCACGCTGCAAGAAATGCTTATCGAGTGCCCACGACATGCCGGGCACTATTCTGGGTGCTGAGACACAGCAGGAAATAAATGACACCACAATCTTGCCTCCTAGGATGGCACAGAGAAGAGGAGAAAGGATGAAGCTGTTCCCACTTAACAAGGTCGTCATAAAAGAGAACACAATGTTGCCCTTGGCCTCCCCCTTGGCCATTAGTTACCCCACCCCCACCCAGGCCTCCTACCTTGATAGCCACGTGTCCCTCCACCTTGTCCATCTCAGCCAAGAGCGCTGAGAGCAGAGACGACTTCCCACAGCCCACCTGGCCCACCACGGCCACCAGGGAACCTTCCGGAATGGAGAAAGTGATGCTGAAACGACACGACACACCCTGGGGCTCAGCTGGGGGTGCTCGGCCCGCCCAAGCTGGATGGACCCCTGAGTGGAGAGAGAGACAGAAGGCAGGGCTGTCACGAGCCTTTGAGGTCTGGAAACTCCTCCCGCCGCATCTACGATGAGCTTAGCTCAGGGAACTGTCTCAGAGGCCTCTGGGCCTGAGGCCCATGACAGGTGCCGGGATGCACCTGCATCTTAGAAAAGATCCCGCGGGACAGACCTGAGGGGCTGAGCCACTATAAGGGGGCCGAGCAGAGGGGATCAGCTTTGCCTGGGGGCATGATACAGGTGCCCAAGGGAGAGGACACCCCAAAACCAACACTGGAGGAAGAGTGAGCGTGCCCCAGACCCAGGGGACAGCCTGAGGAAAGGCCCATGGGTGTGAAATCACAGGCGTGATCAGGGGTGGACACGTCGATGACACAAGATGAGGCAGGGAAAGTAAGGCCAATCCTGAAGAGGTGGGTGGGTGGCAGCCAGACCGAAGAGGGCCTCAGAGGACACGTTTCCCAGCTGGGAGCCATGCAGGGGGTGAATCTGAGTTTCAGAAACACGTCTCTACAGAAATTGCCCTATGGCAGATAACAGTAATCGAAGTACAATAAAACAGGCTCAACACTGCCAGAAAGACTGGCCTCTCCAACGTGGACAGCAAAGTCGGAGCTGGGATTCCACCCACCCGGGGAAGAGCGGGTACGTCCAGGGCCTCCTTGGGTTCACCTACATCGGCTATTGGCTGCCTTCCAGCCGCTGCTATTATGATTTCAACATATTGGTGGAAAGGCTGATGGATTTTGCTGCCATTGTCTAATTCTTGTGTACCTGTTGCATGGTCACACTGATTGTTTTGTTCTGTGCCGGGAGGGGAATGGATTAAGGGGGCAGAACAGAACAGGAAGCCCGGTGAGGCAGCTCTTGTGATCATCCAGGCGAGACAGGAATATTTTATAGGCTGAGGAGAAAAAAGGTTTGGATGGAGAAATTTGCAGGGGATTCAAGGGGTGAGGAAAGGTGACTGGAACAAGAAGGTAAGGTCTTTGAGACTGGAAGGATGGAGGCAGGGATGGGGGCACAGGTACAGACTATTTAGTTGTGAAGCAGGACTAGAGACAAAAGCTAAAATTGAAGCAGGCAGAAGTTAAGTTAGACACAAGAAAGAACTTCCTAAACAAGCAGTCCCATCAAGGGAGGTGTTAACACAGATTCTTTTCTCTGGAGAGTTTGACCCTTGCCCCTCCCCACGTCCCCAGATAAAATACAGCAGTAATTTGGCTACCCAGTTAAGGGAGCAATTATTTAGGGGCATGGAGGATAAACCTGGCCCCTAAAAATGTCCCATGTGGCCCTGTGTTTGGGGGACTCCTTAAGGAGGCTTAAAAGAGCCCCTGGGCAAGGCCTCCGGTCAGAAAGAAATCAGAGGCAATTGACAAGTTACCCAGGGAATCAGGTCAATTCCCTGGATCCTGTGATTTGGAAAAATAAGGACCGGGGTGGGCAGGGTCCCAGATGTGGAAGTAGTGTGAGAAAGGGTAAGCCAGGCAGCTGGGGGACCTTGGAGAAGATGGAGAACAATTCATCCTGATAGCAAACGTGAGTGGACAAGAATTCTTTTCAGCTGACCCAAGCCTTCCTGCCACCAGTGGTGGCACCACAACCTCAGACCCAGCCTGGCCAATCAGTGCACTCAGTCTCTTCTGGCACAGTGACTGGCTCAGGGAGGGGCATATAAGCCAACTTGGGCCAATAAGAGGCAAGTGGGTCTCTTGATGAGGTATGAGGGACACTTAGAGTCAATGGGGGCCATCTGGATCATGAGGGGAGAGGACGTCTGAAAAGGAAGCAGCACAGATGGAAGGGGAACAAAGACAAGATGGAGAGAGTCATGATGGCATTGTCTGAGCCCCTGGATCCATGTCCCTGAAAGGGAACCTTCTCAGTTACGTGAACCAGAAATTTCCCTTTGTTGCCTAAACCCATCCGCTATCTGTACAAGGTTTGTCACATACAGTCTGAGGGAACTCTCTGAGCCAGGCACACTCTCAGCTGCTTCTCCCTGAAGGCCAAGCAGGTGTGACTGGATCTATCTGACAGACGAGTCAAACTAAGGCTCAGAAGGGCAGTGACCTATTCACGGTAACAGAGCTGGAGCGCAGCTGGAATTCAAACTTGTGTTTGCCCAGAGCCCCGTGGCTTTCTCCACGTCCCACTTACCCATGCAGCGTGGGAGGGTCGCTCCTGGCCCAAGTGAACGTGGCATTCTTCACAGTGATGCTGTTTGTGGCCCCAGCTGGAAAGCACCAGAGACAGTATGTCAGGCGTAGATGAAGCCACGGCCTGAGCGTGAACAGCAGGCTCTTACTGTTTGCTTTTCCTCATCAAGTGGTTCAACTCCAGCTGCTAGCCACTCACGCTAGGCATTATCTGGTTACATCAGTCACCGTTTCTAAAGAACTTCAACCAGCAGCTCTGGAGGCGGCCTCAGACCCAGAGAGCAGCAGGAAACCGCGAGAGGGCTCTGCCTTTGAAAGATAGGACGCTGCACCATCTGGAAAGGTCGGGGGACCCCTGGGGGCCTCCCTCACTCAGTCTTGGGAGGTTCCGGCAGCTCTGGCTGGGTGAGTCGAAAAGCAGCCAAGGTCACGGGGCACAAGCAGTGCCCTCATGCAGATGCCTGTCCATCAGCTCGGGCTGGCCCAGGGCCCTCACTACACCTCTGGGGCCCCTCCTTTATGTTCAAAGCGGGGTCCTTTGCCCTGAAACTCCTGGATTTCAGGGCAGCCTCCTAACTCACCTCCCTGCATCCCCCCCCTCCCCCGCTCCCTCCAGCCACTCTGCTCACATCACAGCAAGCCAGTCTTCCTAAAACACAGGCCACTGTAAACTGTGCAAACTCAGGGATGGAACAGGAAGTCGGGAATCGTGGCAGAGGAGGGGAGGGAGGGTGCTTGAGACGAAGCCTGCGTTGTATGGACCCTCTGTGATTCTCGCACCTCTGCCTTCATCTACTTTCGCTCCCCTTATTTTCTTTTTACTCCACGCCCCTCACTTACAAAAACAACTTTTGACTCAATTATGAGCCAACTTAAAACCATCTAGAGAGAAGATGGGGGTGTTTTCAAGTTGTCCAATGAAGAAATAAATTCCCCCACCCATCAGAGAAACAAAAACTGTGGAGAGAGGAAGTTACTGGTTAACCTAACTTAACCTCCCCCTCCCCCATCACCCCCCTGAAACAGAGAACAAGGAGGAAGCTGGAAGGTGCTATTAAAGGAATTTAAGAAAAGCCACTTGAGTCGGTCAAGCTAGAGGCTGCAAGACGTGGCCCGGAGCTGCAAAGGGGGCCCCGCCTGGCACCCAGAGAATGTGGGTAAACATAAAGTCAAACCACCCGGGAGACTGCTGTCAGGGCAGGAAGTGGGGCTGAGGCCCGGGCTGAGGCCCAGGGGTTTTCCAGTGTGACTCCTGTAGTGAGCTGTGAGCAACGTCAAGAGCTCAAAACCTCCTCGGCTGCCCCCAATTTCAGACCTGTGTTATGCAGGGAAATTTGACCCTGGTAGATGGCATCATTCCACATCGTGCGTGCGTGCGTGCGTGTGTGTGTTCACATCTGTGTATGTGTGTGTGTGTTTGTGTGTGTGTGTGAAGGGGGGAGTGACTTGGTCCTCACACAGCAGAAACTGGACGACCACGGGCCAGGGACATCGGGAGGGAGATTCCAGCGAGCAGTGGTTCTCAACTCAGGGTGACTTTGACCCCCGAGGGACACGATGTCTGGGGACATTTTTAGTTGCCAAAACTGGGGCGGGTGCTACTGGCATCTAGTGGGTAGAGGCCAGGGGTGCTGCTCAACATCCTATAATGCACAGGACGCCCCCGCAGCAAAGTGATCTTGCCCCAAATGTCGGTGGTATTGAGGCTGAGGAACCCTGCCCCCAGGCCGATCGCCTCTCACACATACTGGTGAAGGAACAACCACCGTGATCTTTGTTTGGCGGGCACTGTGCTGGGTGTTTTCACGTCACTGAGGACATCTGAATGCCTGCTAGGTGCCAGGCATCGCTCACACATTATTACCAACATATACACACATTCATTCTCCTGACCATATCTACTGGGCTCGGGAGCCAGACTGTGTGGGTTCAAATCCCCGTGCTGCCACTTCCTAGCTGGAGAACCACAGGCAAGTTACTTAACTTCTCTGTGCCTCACTTTCCTCGTCTGTAAAATGGGACTGATAATGGGATCAACCTCACAGGGCTGTGAGGAGAACATTATGCACAACAGACAGTCCTTAGAACAATGACTGTCACATAGTAGGTGCTCAATAAATCTCAGTGCAGAGATGTTCTACAGTGGGTGAGAGCACAGATTCCGCTGACGGGCTGCCAGTGTGAATCCTGACTCTACTTCTTATTGGCCGTGCAAGTTAACCAGATGAGTCTTCTCATCTGTAGGTGGGGGCCCCTCTCCTTGAGCTGCAGTGAGCAACGGACGGGGAGTACAGTGATGTCCTCAGGACGGGACGTGCGTGGCGGGACTGTCATTTCAGCAAAAGTGGTCACTACCATTAGTGCTATTAATATTTATTATTAAGTGCCTGGAAATCCCTGCTCAGGGGGGTTGACTAGGAAAGGATAAATTAATAAGCTATGAAATAAACAAACCTACCAATAAAAATCCATGTAACACCCAGCCAAAGAAAGGCACCTGCATTTCCATTGCCCAGGTGGGGAAAGTGAGGCTCAGAGCACTGAAGTGACCTTCTCAAGGCTGCACAGCTAGTGGGGGTAAGGGGTTGGTCAATCTCCAACATCCTTGATTTGCCCATCCATCTGCCCAGTATGGAATCAAAGCCCAGGCCCTGGAACCCGGCCCTCAGGGGTGGACCTCTCCCAGGGAGGCTGCCTCTCAGCAAGAAAGCAAGATAACAGAAGTGCAAGTTCACCCTCCTGGGAAGACTAGGTAAGACCCTGCGCCCGCCCACTCTCCTAGGACACACCGTCTTTGATGGGCCATCGCTGGATGCTGTCAGGTTCCAGCTCCTCGTGGGAGAGGAAGATCCTGAGGCGCTTGAGGGAGACACTCGCCTACACAGAAAGCAACGACAAGGTGTAGTTATTTTGAAAAACGTCTCTGCAAAACAGACCGAGGCTAACTTACAGTGGTTTCCTCTGGGTGCAGAGGGGCCCACATCCTCCCTTATTTCTGAAGGTGCTGCAGTGCCACACCTTAGAATAAAAAACAAAAAGGGTTTTGGTTCTTGTTTGCCTTCCTTTAAAAGCCTACAACCGGTATTAAAAAAGACAGTGGGGGACTATCGTAGCTGACAAGGGCCCTAAGAAATAACCGAAGGCAATGGCCCCGTTTAAGACAAACTTGCGACTTGGAGATAAACGTGTCCTGGAGATCGAATGCATGGCATGGTGGTTATGGCCAACAACACTGTATAATAAACTTCAAAGTTGCTAAGAGACTAGAACTTAATGGTTCCCCCCCACAAAAAAAGAAATGATAATCGTGGCACGTGACAGGAGTGTAGCTGACGCTATGGCGATAACTGTATAGCAACATATCCACGGATCCAATCACCACATTGCACACGTTGAACACAATGTGAATTATGGTTCTACAAAAATAAATTTTTTAAAAAAGCAAAGGTTCTGATTCAAACAGCCCAATGGTAAGGACATTTCTGAGATAATCCAAAAAATTTTAATATGAACTGGGTATTAAGAGATTACTGTTAATTTTGTTAGGTATGATAATGGTGTTATACTTATGTAAGAAGAAATTTGTGCTGAAGTATTTATGGGTGAAATGCCAAGAGGTCTGTGATTTGCTTTAAAATTCTTCGGCAAAGAGAGAAAGTAATGAAGGGAAGAAGGAAGACAGAAAAACGATTAGACAAAGTAACTGTGGCAAAATGTTGACTCTGGGTGACAGGAACACAGCATTCTCATGCTATTCGCTCCACTTCTGTGTATATTTGAAATTGTTCGTAATAAGAAGGGGTTTTACTGGCTTATTTTTTTAAAAAAAACCTTGACCAGGGCTTGTACAACCAAATCTTAATCTTAATTTGTCTATGTGGCTAAGAAAAGGGTTTTCACAGGAAAACGTGCAAGGCTAGGGAGAAGAGTGTGACAAATGCTGTCGGCAGCAAAGTGCAGGAGCTTCAGATGGTGCAAGTGCGACTGAGCGGTTCCCTCTCGTTACAGAACCACTGCAGGGACTGGGGGGATTCTAGGGGGGCCAGCTGGGGTTTTTCAAATGGTGAGCCAAGGCCTGTGAATGGGTTGCAAAACCAATTTAGTGGGTCAAAAGCTGCATTTTTTGAAGAAACAGAACAGGATAAGGTAGGGCACGGTGGAACAGACTCGATCAGAATAGAAGAGGATCAAATGTTTCAGAAAGAATCTTGCAGAGCTTAGGACAGCCTAGCTGCAATAACTTGTTTCATACACTCGAGTGTGCGCCGAGAAGCAAAACGTATGTCTCTCTTTGGGGCAGGACCAAAAAAGCACAAAGGCCACTAGTCTGGGCCTTGATAAGCCCCCCGGCCACAGTGGGATGGGTTGCACAGAGGGAGCTGCATCCAGGGGGATTTTCATGCCCTTTTGCTTTGTTTCCCCCAGAGACCCCCTCTCTGAAGTTCCCCAGCCTGTACCTGCACGATGCTGCTGATGACCATGGGGAGAATATTCAGGGGGAAGCGAAGGATGTTGAACAAGGCCAAGGACACGAAGGCCTTCTGGGCATCCAGGATGTTGTTCTTGTCGATGGTCACGTAGACGGCAAACGTGCACAAGGCCACCTGCAAGCAGAGGCCAAGTCAGAGTCCCAGTCACAGAAGCAGTGACCTGCGCCCGGGGAAGTTGCTCCAGCCTCCTGGTGTGAGCTGCAGGGGCTGACGACTGGCCTCTGGAGGCAGCAGAAATGCCAGAACAGTGTCTAGCACACAGCAGGCACTCGCTAAACACCCAGAGAACGAACTGGATAAACCAATGACCAGAAGCCAGAAGTCCGGGCCATTCCCACCAACATTCTCCATGGGACACCGGATGGCATTCTCAGGGTCCCTCAACATCACCAAGCATGATCCCACCTCCGGATCTTTGTTCTTGCAGTTCCCTCTGCCCGAAATGACCTTCCTATCCAGACAGTGGCCTGGTTACTCCCTCTTCCCGTTCCAAGAGGCTGCCCTACCCAAAACAGCCCTGCTACTTCCCTCCATCCTTTTATCCTGGTTTATTTTTCTTCATAACACCTATCACTACCTTACATTGTAAGATTATAGGTGTTTATTGTCTTGTCTCCTGCAGTGTGAAATGCAAACGCCACAAAGGCAAGGACTTTTGTACATGGCTGGATCCTCAGGGCCTAGAATGACCCCAGGCACATAGGAGCACCGAGACCTCACGTAAGTCACCTCCTCTCCCCATGCCTCCGACATCTCATCAGTGAAATGGATGTGGAGGATTCGTGCTACTGTTGAAAGCTCCTTCCAGCTTAGAGTATAGGGTTTTATACCCCCAGGAAAGGAACATAGGTTTTCAAAAAAAAAAAAAAAGAAAGAAAAAGAAAAACAAACAGCCAAGGGTCCCCCAAAGGCTACTCCCTTCCCCACAAAGTCAGACCTGCCTTAAGCCTTGCAGTGGGGCCTGGGATTTCAATTCCCAGGCAATCGGAATTTGGGTTCGGTTGTTTGAGACAGCAGCACTTCACTTCCCTCGCCAGGAAAAAGGAAGGACCCCTGAATAATCCAAGGCTGGGCTGCGTGGCTTAGGAGGGAAAAGATCAACAGGTGGATCTCCATGCCCCGCCCACCTGTTGGCCCCCGAGCAGTGCCAGGTGTTGCCGGAGGAGGCTAATAACATCCCCCCTGAGATCACCTGGTATACACCACCAAAGCAATCTGGAAAACCGTGCACCCTAGCAGATGGGCAAAAGTCTCTACCCCATGCTAGTCCCAGGCGCCAAGAGCCACTAAAGGCTTTCCCTAGGGGAAACAAATTGCTTGGGACCTCATTCTTGAGCTCAGGGCAGATGTCCGGCAATCAGGAGATGGCGGAGTGGCCAAGATTCTGGTGTGGATGCGGTCCAGGGTGTTTTCAGGGTCTCAGCTGCCTCATTTCTTTGTTACCTATTAAAAGGTCCTACATCTTAAAAATTAAATCCATAAGCTCCGCCTGTTTATCAGCTGGGTGACCCTGAGCTGTGATGTCACCTCAGCTCTCCAATGGAGCCTCTGTTTTTCCGTCTATAAAATGGGGGTCATGATACGTATTCGCAGGGCTTCTGGCAGCAAGGAATCAGGCACTTGTGCAGAGTGCTTAGCCCTGTGCCTGGGGCACAGTAAAATGCAGTAGATGGTGGCTGTTCTATTTCTTGTTTCAGGACTTGGTCCAAACTCCTTGGACTATTTTTCCAAAGAGTCTATTAACTGGTTCCCAAGAACAAGGTACTGGAAAGCAGAGCTGGTTCCTGTTCTGGTTCTGACATTAACGAGCGAGGTGACCCTGAGGGGAGACACAGAAATTTTCCAGGATCCTTGGCCAGGAGGGAAGTTAGATGCTCAAAAAGCCACTGACACCTGATCCCTGGGATGGCTGCACACACAGGTCCCCTCCTCCAGGTAGTGATGACGTACTTGCTTCTTAGCCAGAGATTCTCCTCACTCAAAACTCTCTAAACACATCCACGTAGAGGAACAGTATTCAGCCATAAAAAGGAATGAAGTGCTGACACCCACTACGACATGGACGAACCCAGAAAACATGATGCTAAGTAAAAGGAGTCAGACACAGAGGCCACACGTGTTACATGATTCCATTTAAATGAAATACCCAGAAAAGGCAAATCTACAGAGACAGAAGGTAGATTAGTGGGTGCCCGGGGATGGGGGTGGGGAACAGGGGGGATGGGAGTGACTGCCAGTAAGTACAGGGCTTCCTTCTGGGGTGATGAAAGTGCTCGGGAATTAGACAGTGGAGATGGTTGCCCAACCTTGTGAATATACTAAACACCATTGAACTGTACACATAAAAGTGGTGAATTATATGTCAATAAAAATAATAAATTTTTTGGGCTTCCCTGGTGGCGCAGTGGTTGAGAGTCCGCCTGCCAATGCAGGGAACACGGGTTTGTGCCCCGGTCTGGGAAGATCCCACATGCCGCGGAGCGGCTGGGCCCGTGAGCCATGGCCGCTGAGCCTGCGCGTCCGGAGCCTGTGCTCCACAACGGGAGAGGCCACAACAGTGAGAGGCCCGCGTACTGCAAAAAATAATAATAATAATAAAAATAATAATAAGAAATTAAAAAAAAATAATCTCTCCAATATCAGTCTATTTTACTCAGTATAGAAGCCAAAGTCTTGACTCAGGCTCAGGGGCCACCTGATTCCTAAACGTCCCTTTTCTGAACTCTTGTGCCCTCCTCTCCTACCACTCTCCCACCTCCTTCCCTCTGTTCCAGCCCCGCTTGCCTCCACGATTATTCCTTTTTGGGGCAGCACAGTCCTGCCTCAGGGCCTCTCACTCTTCCCTCTCCCTGGTCAGGCCCCTGACCACCATTAGGTTAAGACTCAAGTATCACCTTCTCAGTGAAGGCTCTGATCATCCCTTTTGTTGTTGTTGTTTGTTCTTTTGGGTTTTTTTGGCTGCGCTGTGCAGCATGGGGGATCCTAGTTGCCTGACCAGGGATCGAACCCATGCCCCCTGCAGTGGAAGCACAGAGTCTTAACCACTGGACCACCAGGGAAGTCCCGTGATCACCCTATTTAAAAACTGCAAGCCCTCCCTATCACTCTAACCAGAACCTTTTTTTCCCATAGCACTTATGACAGTTTAGCATACTATATATTTATCATACTGGTGTGCATTATCTGTCTCTCCCAGTTAGAACGAATGAACACCCCATGAGCGTGCGGATTATTGTCTTTAGTATTCACTGCTCTATCATCAGTGCCTAGGACAGCACCTGGATCATGGCAGACACCCAGGAAATGTTTGTGGGTGGGTGGATGGATGGCTGGGTAGACAGGTGGATGGAGAGGTAGGCAGATGGATGGGTAGGCAGGTGGATGGATTTGCCCAAGGGCGAGAAAGCACACACTCAAGGGTGTCTCTTCAGCAACAGAGAAAATCAGGCCTCAGGCATCTCACCACCAGAATATCCCAGCTCCACTGGCCCAACTAATAGGGTGGCTGCTGGCAGCACAGGAAGCGCATTAAGAGGGAGAAACATCGCATGGTCCCCGTCAGATCCACATCATCCACTTCTCCAGGAAGCAGAGGTCACTCATTCATCCATCAGTTGTTAATTGGGCACCTACTGTGTGCCAGGCACTGTGTGAGGCAGAGGTCACTCATTCATCCATCAGTTGTTAACTGGGCACCTACTGTGTGCCAGGCACTGTGTGAGGCAGCCTTGGAGATCCTGAGACGCACGGTCTAGTGGGGAACAGATATGCACCAGGGTCTCTCTAGCACGAGTGTCTGCGTGTGGAGGTGGACGGGGAGCTAGGGTTTGCTACAGCCTTATAAAGGGTGAGGGTCCAGGATGCGAAAAATCCTTCGCAAACAAGGAAGACTACCGCCCCCCTCTAAGTGCTAAAAGAGCCTCCCCCCCATGCTGAGAAATGGGGCAAATGACGGAACCAACTTCCCCAGCCCAACCCCTAAAAATCTGCCATCTCTCCATGAGGACATCTGTTCCTTCTGCCTGGTCGGCATCCACTCTTGTTGCTGGTAACAAAACGTCAGTTTTCCTTTGGGGAGCTGAACCTCCCGCAACCTCAGTCCATGAGCTTCAGCCACAGATGAACTGCCCATACCGGACCCGACCCCAATCTCCAAAGAAGCCACATGACCCAGGCCTGGCCAATCCAAGCATCCCTGCTCCCTGGCCCCAGTGATTCAGGGACAAGCATGCAGCCAACCGCAATCAATGAGACTCAACCCCACAGCTTTGCAGGAACTAATGGGAAAAGGGGAGCTCTCTCCTTGGTTACTGTGGTTACTGAGATGACAGAATCAACTGTAATCACATGGCGAGTTTCCATCTGACAAAGAAACCACCATGGAGAAAGCAGAGCTGGGAGACAGAGGAGGAATTATACCCAACATTATCTCTGGAGCACCTAGGTCCAGCCACACCCGAAACCCCAGTCGTGCTTAAAACCAGCACCTTCCTAGACTTCTCAGTTTTGTGACTCAAAAATCTCCCTTTCACTTTTTTACTCTAGTGGACCTACGTTAGGTTTCTGCCACTTGCAAGATAGTTCCTGACTAATACAGTTTATTCAAATCTTCTGTCCATTCATTTAGTCAGTCATTCCTCTACATACACCTAGTGAGTGGGTACCATTTGCCAAGTCCTCTATGCTCTAGGGATACAAGCAAAAAAAGACAAGGTCCATGTATGTTCTGGTCAGCAGAGAACTACACAACAGGTAATTAGCATATGGAATGATAATTATTCTAAAGAAGGGACGGACATACAAGGCACAGAGAAGGCAAGAAGCTCACAAATCTTCCAAGAGAGCAAATGTTAAATACTGACAGGGATGCTATTTTAGGAAAGTGCACTAGGTGGACATGAGGACATGATAAATGCCAGGCTCTATATTCCAGAAAAACAGTCCCATCAATCCTGCCACATGGCATCCCTATTCCTGCCTGACCTCCCCAGGCCTCTGTCTTCCATCACACCTACCAGTGGGTAAACACCACATCATCCTTGAAGTGCAGGAATTCACCAGTGGAAAGCACATGCAAACACCTTCCAAGGGAACAGAAGGCCACATATTTTATCCTAATGTAGTCAGAGGCTTCAGTGTCTCGGTCTGGGCCAAGGTCCCCGACTGACCCCTGGGCTCATCTGTTTCATGCCAAACAGCTGAACCAACACCGTCTCTGGAAGCCCATCATCACCCAAAAACTTTATGGCAAATTCAAGGTCAAGAAAAGCCAGTCCCACTCTTAAGCATCTCTTGCTGTGGGCTCCTAACGGAAGCCAGGGCAGGAGATGATATTTGAAGGGTTAGCAGTGAGGGTGACAAGCTGGAAACTGCAGGTTTTGTCAGAGGATCTGATGTACAGAGCAAAGGGTTACGGGGAAAGGGGGAAAGGTCCCCTTCGTCCTAAGTGTAACACAACCCACCGACTAAACCTTATTGCCTGATCCTTCTGACTGCAGATCTTTTCCTATTTAAAAAAAATGCAATCCAAATGCCTTGAATTTCTGTGTGATTTGCTATCACTTGCATAAAAGTAAAGTAAATAGAAGAGATGGTTAAGTTTGATTACATTTATTGCATATAGTCAATGTTATGCTGGTATACATGCAGGCTCTCTCTGGAAAAACACAAAAGAAACCGGTATGGAGAGGGAAGCTAGGTGATGGGGGTCTGCGGAGAGAAAGAGCAGTGCCTTTCAATGCAGACTGGTGGTTCTCAACTGGGGGACATTTGGCAATGTTTGGAGACAATCAAGAATTGACTGTCATAACTGGGGAGGTGGGGAGCAGAGGTACCACCTGGCATCTAGTGGGTAGAGGCCAGGGATGCTGCTAAGCATCCCACAATGCACAGGACAGCACCACCACCACAGACACAATGAATTACTGGGTCCCAAACGTCAGCAGCGCTGGGGCTGAGAAACGCAGCTGCAGGCCCTCTGTGGAACAGCTTTAACTGTTCTTACCACGCGAATGCATTACTTTCTGTTTTTAAATTAAAATGTATCATATATACAATAAGGACTATTTAGCAGTCGTATTTAATACATAGAGACTATTTAACAGTTTTAAAAAAAAAAGAACGAACATCCTCTCTACCATCCAGTCTTATATTTTTACTTTTGAAAAAAACCAAGAGAGTCGCTAAGGACCTGGGGGAAAGCTGGAGAGACTGGAGTATGAAAAGAATCAGACAGCAGACCCTTCCAGCCTGGAATGCTGGAGGGGAGCTGGAGGGGAGCTGGAGGGGAGCTGGAGGGGATCTTAGGGAACACTGAATCTCAGAACAGCTAAGAGACGTCTCTGCTTGGGCCAACTCCAGTCAATTGGCAGCGGTCACCTGGAGGGTTGCTTGAACGTAACTCAGTGGGAGAGAGCACCACGACAGACTGGGGGTGTCTGCTGTGGTATGGGGGCGGGGGAGGGCAGGGCCCGAATGTCACGTCCCTGGGGCCTAACCCCTTCATCTTTCACGCTCAAAAACCCAGAGGCAGGGAGGTGAAATGACCGCTGCAGGTCACACCATGAGCTGGCAGGAGAATTCAGCAGGGGTCCTGACTCTCAGCAAAACATTCCATTCCTCTAAGCCAGGGCTCAGCCAACTATGGCCTGTGGTCGACCCATCTGTGTCTGGGCCCGTGAGCTTAGGATGGATTTTATATTTTTAAAGGATCAAAAAAAAAATCAAAATATTTCATGACACATGAAGAGTGTATAAAATTCAGATTTCAGTGTCTATAAAGTAATGTTTACAGGAACACGGCCACACCCATTCATTCCGTGTTATCCACAGCCGCTCCTGCACTACACCGGCAGAGATGAGCAGCTGCAACAGAGGTCGCACGGCTCAACACCCAAAATACTTGCTAGCTGGTCCTATACAGGAAATGTTTGCTTACTCCTCCTTTTTCCCAGTGTTTCTCAAACTTTAATGTGCATACAAATCACCCAGGGGGAGATTGCTAATACTCAGGTCTGTCTTAGCCTGGTCTGGGGTGAGGCCCGAGAATCTGCATTTCTAATAAGCAACCCTGTGATGCCAGTGCTGCTGGTCCATGGGCCCCACTGCTGAGGACAAAGCGTGGATCCCAAACCAAGAGCATCAGCAGCACCTGGGAACATGTCAGAAATGCAAATACTCCGGGCCCACCTAGACCGACTGGATCTGAAACTCTGAGTGGGGCCCAGTGAGCTGCATTTTAACAAGCTCTCCGGGTGACTGGGAGGCCCACACAAGTTTAAGCATCACTGATTTCCACCACACTGCCTTGTGTTCGGGTTAAGACTCTGGGAGACATTAAGCTGAGCCTAAAAAAATCCAGTGTCAGAATGGATACACTTTGACAAACACTGAAAAGGCAGGAGTTTCCTTCAACATTCCACCTGCAACTCCGCTGTGATGAAGCGGATGGCAGCCTAACAGAAAATTGTTTCTAATTTATGAAAATGTGTGGTTTTAGTCATAGGAACTTCCCATAAGAATATATATTTGCCAACATAGCTAAATAATACTTATTAGCACAACATCTTTTAAAAAGAATGACATAGTTAATAATATAAAGACAGAGAGAAAAAATAAACATGGGCGGGGCATGATCTGAAGTCCTCCATAACCATGCTCAACTGTCAACTGAGCTTAAAGGGTTTCCACAGTCCATACTGTCTCCTGGTTTGGGGCCAGCTTTGGAAAACAGTTAACTCACACTATTGTCTTTAAACTTTTCAAAGTTGGCCAGCTAGGGGTAGACCCATTACAGTACCCCAAGACATGCATATGGGAACATTCAGGGCAATGTGGGTCATAACTGCAAAGAAGAGGGACCAGCCTAAAAGGCCAGCAACGAGAGATGGGTTAAGTCAACTACAGCACATCCATGCTCTGGACAAGCACACATCATTAAAATAGACGAAGCAGGGCTTCCCTGGTGGCGCAGTGGTTGAGAGTCCACCTGCCGATGCAGGGGACACAGGTTTGTGCCCCAGTCCGGGAGGATCCCACATGCCACGGAGTGGCTGGGCCCGTGAGCCATGGCTGCTGGGCCTGCGCGTCTGGAGCCTGTGCTCCACAACGGGAGAGGCCGCAACGGTGAGAGGCCCACGTACCGGGGAAAAAAAAAAAAAAAAAAAAAAACAGATGAAGCAGATCTGAACACATGAACTGAGAGAGATTACATATCAAGTCCAAAGGTCTAGAACACCATGTAAGTATGAGTCCATTTGAATATATTACAAATATTTTTAAAATATCTATATGCATAATTTTCCTAAAAAGACATACAAAACTGTCACTTTGGAGGAAAGGGACAGATGGAGGGGAGGACAATATACTTTTCATTTCATAACTTTCTGTACAGTTTGAATTTTTTTTCAGTGAATGACAAATATTTGTTGAGCGCCTATTATGCACCATTTTAGGCACCAGGATACAGCAGTGAACAGAAGAAATCCCTGACATTCTAGTGGAGAGAGGCAGACAATTCATGAAATAATAGGTGACTTTCAGAGTATGTTTGGCATTGCCACTTGAAGTGTGGTCCACAGGTTACTGCCAATCTGCGGTTTGTGACCAGATGACAGTAGATAAGGAGCTGATACCATAATGTAGCTCAACTATGGCAACAAGCATGCATGTAGTTCAGCTGACATTTTTTTTTCTTAGCAAGACTTTCTCGGGACTTCCCTGGTGGCGCAATGGTTAAGAATCCACCTGCCAGTGCAGGGAACATGGGTTCAAGCCCTGGTCCAGGAACATCCCGCATGCCATGGAGCAACTAAGCCTGTGTGCCACAACTACTGAGCCTGCACTCTAGAGCCTGCGAGCCACAACTACTGAAGCCCGCGTGCTTAGAGCCTGTGCTCCACAACAAGAGAAGCCACCGCGATGAGAAGCCCGCGCACCACAACAAAGAGTATCCCCCACTCGCCGCAACTAGAGAAAGCCTGTGTGCAGCAACGAAGACCCAACGCAGCCAAAAATAAAAAAAAAAAAAAGACTTTCTCAATGAAGGAAGCAGACAGCAGAAGTTTACATTCCACCACAAACTTCTCATCTTATCGTGAACCTGTAACAAACAGTTCCTGAACTAGCTACTTTGAGTATCCCTGGGCTGGAAGCTGTAAATGCTGTGAATAAAACAAAAGGTGGGAGTAGCACTATTAAAAAGGAGTGGTTGGAGAAGGCTTTGCTGACTTGCTGAAACAGTGACTTCTGAAAAATATTTAGGCATGACAACACAATAAAACATCAAACAATGTGGGCCAGGATAAACTTGGCTTCACTCACCAGGAAAGGTGTGCAGACCCAGGTGAAGGTCCCCACGGCGGCCAGGTAGGCAGATTTCTTCAGCACCTTCAGCTCCTCCTGCCTGATGGCCAGTACCTTATCTTTGAATGCCAGCTCCCAGGCGTAAAGTTTTAGCACTTTGATCCCATTCAGAATTTCATTCATCAGCTTAATCCGATTGTCTTTGCTCTTCATGTGGGCCACCTTCGAAGAGAGGAGCAGTCAATACCACACCTGGGGGCCGGCTGCTCACTTCTGGCCCTGGCATCAGACCAACACTCAACAACCCCACCTATTAAAAATGGGCCGTCCTAAGGGTGGGAAAGCTGGCCTGCAATCCCCATGAACCCTAACTCTTGACCCTGAGAGCACTCCAAGGGATTCTTTTTTCAAGGGAAAAAAAACTGCTTCGAATCACATTAAATTTGACATCAGAGAAACCTCTTAAATTCAGAAGGGAGGAAGAGAGGCAAGAAAAACCTGTCAGGTATCCAGGGAGGAAGGGGCACATGCCCTACTCTGCTGATCTAAACCGAGAGATGATATTTTTTTTCCTTCCATTTTCTTATTTTCTTTATTGCTTTTCAGGCAGTACACAGTTGTTAAAATGCTGAAGTGTTTCTGTACCAGCTAGCACTGGTTCTGACCATTTGGGTGCCCATGCTGCAGAGTTGTTAAATATTTTTAATGCCACCTGGCATTTTCCTTACGCCAGGCACTTTTCTAAGCTTTTCAAGTGCATTTAGTTCTGCTCACGAGAACCCTATCATTAAGTGTTATGTCATTCCTGGGTCACAGAAGAGGACAGTTTAAGCAACATGAGGTCAAAGCCAGAGACTGAAGCCATTTCAGAGGTGGGCCGTTCAGGGAAGAGGCTAAGAGTCGACACAGCCCCATGCCCCTCCCACGCGTCTCCTCCCTTCTCCCCAAACCTCATTCCAACAGCCCCACGTCCTGCAACTCTTCTCTCCTTCGGCATCACCAGCGCGGCCAAGCTCTCTCATTTGAAATTCCACAGGCACATCATAAACAGCCATCAGTGGGGGAGCAGAGGAATGAACTCTGGCCTGTCTCTGCTATGGACCATCAGGCACGAGTTCAAGACAATGAAGTCAGACCACATGGCATGCTGCAGAAAGATCCCCCAGGCATGGTGTTGGACGATAAAATCACTCTGCCAAACAGGCCCGTTTGTGTTAAAATATATATGGTGATAACACCACGACACACACACACATATACACACGAAGCCTAACTATAGAGTTAGTCCGATCTCTATATAAACACATCAAAAGTTCTAGAAGGATTTGCTTCAGTGTGTTAAGAGGACAGGGAAGAGGGGCTTCCCTGGTGGCGCACTGGTTAAGAACCCGCCTGCCAATGCAGGGGATACGGGTTTGAGCCCTGGTCCGGGAAGATCCCACATGCCGCGGAGCAACTAAGTGCGTGCGCCGCAACTACTGAGCCTGTGCTCTAAAGCCCGCAAGCCACGACTACTGAGCCCACGTGCCACAACTACTGAGCCCATGTTTCACAACTACTGAAGCCCGCATGCCTAGAGCCCGTCCTCCACAACAAGAGAGACCACCGCAATGAGAAGCCCGCGCACCACAAGGAAGAGTAGCCCCCGCTTGCCGCAACTAGAGAAAGCCTGCGTGCAGCAACGAAGACCCAACACAGCCAAAAATAAATAAATAAATAAATAAAATTAAAAAAAAAAAAAAAGAGGACAGAGAAGGGACATGCCCTTTTAATCTATATACTTTTGTATTATTTGAACTTCCTTTTATAATGAAAAGGCATTCACTCTGTTACTTGAGTATTTAAAAACTTAAAAAATACGAAGTATCTCTGAAAATAAAGAGTTTAACCCTGCGACCAGCATAAGGAAATGGGGAGAAAAGCAAGGGGTGATTTTTGCTCAGCTCTTGAAAATGCACACACACAGAAAGGAATACACCCGTGGGAAATACGGAATCTCTTGGAGGCTCACAGATGGGACTTCAGTCACTGGCCCATGAGGTCTAACTATTTCAGGAGCTCTCAACCTCAGCGACCCAATGTAATAACCTGGGAAGCTTTAAAAACTCCCAATGCCCAGGCCTCACCCACATTAGATGAATCAGAATCCCTGGAACTGGGCCTAGGCATCAGCATTTGTTAAAGCTCCCCAGGGGGTTCCCACAGGCAGACAAGGCTGAGACCCCCAAGGTCTGTGCAGAAGGAACTCAACTAACACCCAAGTGGAAAGGCCTTAGGCAGGGGTGCAGCTTGGAGCCCTGTGCAGACACACCCCCTACCTGGTAGGTCTTGGTCTTCATGGCCATCACTGCATTGAGGGGAACCATGAAGATCATCACAGCCACTCCAGCCAGAACGGAGGGGCCCAGGTTCTATGGAAGGAACAAGAACAAAGGCCTTAGCACGGGGCTTCCACGGGCTGAGCCACCCAGTGTAGGCACATTACTTTTCAGATTTATCCGGGAGCATCCCTTGGGGTCCCACAAACCCTGTAAGAACGTTCAAGGCCACAGTCCTTTATCCGAAACCCTTGGGACCAGGTTGAGTTTTGCAAATGAGAGCTTAAGGATTTCAGAAAGGTAACAGGATGTGGAGCAGAAAACAGTGAACATGGCCCACCTGACGGCTTATCTCGTTCAAAGGTCCTTGGCTGGCGCCTAGGTGCTTGGATTTTGGGAGGGTTCCCACCATTCTCAGAACTGGTAAGAGTGACTCACTGCGCCTAAGCTGTTTGCATGAACTCACTGCGCTGGTTTCTCCTGATTAACCCCTTTTCCCTCTGGGAGTCTGGAAGTTTGGTCTGTGCCAGGCAGAGGCTGCCGGTGTGACCAGCCCCCAATAAAAATCCCGGGGCACAGGGTCTCTCCTGAGCTTCCCTGGCTGGTAACATTTCACACGTGCTGTCACAATTGTCACAAATCGTTGCTGGGGAATTAAGTGCATCCTGTGTGACTCCAGGGGGAGAGGACTCCTGGAAGTTTGTCCTTGGTTCCCTCCGAACTTTGCTAATCTTGCTGTAGTAAATGATAGCTATGAGCCCTCCTAGCAAATCACGAACCTGGTGGGGTCTCGGGGACCCCTGACACAGGTAGATATGCCTGTATATCGCACCTCCACAGGGCCCTGGCACAGTGCTCCAGAAGCAAATGCGATGATTTTTTTCAGTAGCAAAATAGGAATATTCCCATGAGAGGGATAATCAAAATTATAAATCACACATCAGTTCAAGTCAAATCTTGCCACCAAATAAGTTAAGAAAAACTTTCAATTTTCAGAGCTCTTTAACTTGAGGACTTGTAGATAAGATGCTGTAGACTGTTCTATTATCGCATTTGCAGATAAGGAAACTGCATCTCAGAAAGGTTAAGTGGTCATGACTGAGACAAGATACAGATCAACATTTTTCAACTTCCAAGTTACACAAATAAAAAGAGACAGCCTACGAAGTCCGTCCAGTGCACACTTGCTTAGCTGAGACGGATGGAACTAGAGGGTAAGCGTGTTAGTCCCTTCCAAGGAGTCACCCTCGGGGTCTCCAGTCCTAGTTACCAAAAATATGCTGCCACCGCTTGTTTCTGTGACGGGTCTCTGCCCAGTGAAGATTAATCCACCTCTAAGCATGAAGGTGATTTCTACCAACAATCGAAAGCATTGGGAATCAATTCTGAGAGCAAATCATAGTAACTAAAAGATACCAAGCACGTCGCTGTACCATGTACTGTTCAGGGAACACTACCTGTGCTAATTCATTCAATTATTCCAACATCACTATGATGAGGTTCCCTTATTATTACCAGTCTACAGATGAGAACACCAAGGCTTAGAGACGTTAAGTAATAAGGTCTGGAAGAGGCAGGATCTGAACCCAGGCAGCCTGATTTCAGAGCCACGCTGTCCCCCATTATCTTATGTCATGTTCTTGATTGTCAAATAGAGAAACCCTGGTTTTGGTCTAAAGCAGCGGTTCCCAACCAGGGAGGACTATTCCCCCAGGGGACATGTGGCAACATCTGGAGACTGTCACAAGTGGTGGTGGGAGTGTGGGGGAGGGGAGGTGGGGTGTTATTGGGATCTAATGGAGAGAGGCCAGGGATGCGGCTAAACATCCTACAATGCACAGGACAGTCCTCAACAAGGAAGAATTATCCGGCCCCAGATATCAGTAACACATTCAGCAACTCTCATCTAAAAAAAAGCAATTTTGTAGTGGATCACAAATCAACCGTGAAGGCAATTCTAAAAGAAGTGTTCTATAGCAGCACTTTCTGGGGAAGCAGATGCCCCAAGACATCTGCTAGATGGAAGAAGTCCATGTAACTGAGAGGGAAAAAGAATCAGTGGAAGTTGCATTTGTCACAGCCTTGAAGTTTGGGTGGGATTCCATCAGTAGGGAGGAAACAGGAAAGGGAATTCCTGGTGGAAGGAAAGACACGTGCAAAGCCCCAAGAGTAGAACAGAATAAGGCACATATTAGGCTATAAGCATCTTTGCTTGTCATCTTTATATTTTGGGAACTGCCCTTCCCCGTGTGGAAGGGCTGTCAATCACACCTCCACCCCTTCCACAATGAGAGAGAGCATGTGACCCAGGGTGGCCCATCAGAGAACTCTGCCTATTTCACAGTGATTGGCTCAGGGATGTGAATAGGACTGTGCCGAGCCAATCAGAGTGCCCCCTGGGACCCGGCTGAGACAAAGAGGAATGCAAAAAGGAATCTCCTTTCTCTGGCACCACTATCTGTGAAGATGATATAAGCCCAACACTATGGAGGCCATTTGAAGAAATCCCACTGAGAATGAAGTCAACTCAGAGAAACACAGGCTAAGAAATGATAAGAGTATGAGACTGAATTCTTACAGCACTGCTTGAACTCCTGGATCCACCCCTACCTGAAGCCAGCCCCTGGACTTTTCAGTTACATGCACCCATAAAATTCCCTTTATTTGCTTATATTACTCTAAGATGCATTTCTATCCCCTGCAACCAAGAGACTCTTAACCAGCATAACCTGGGACTTGTGAATAAATGAGTTTGGTTAGCATTTGGGATGATACAGAGGGAGAAATACAATGTGTATGTTATAGGGTTGTTAACTACATACACTGTCAAGAAGAGACAAATGCATATGAATACCATGCCACCCTAGAGAACATAACCCAACAACTGAAGAAAGGAATAAAATATCCAGGAACTGGCTGACAGGCCAGAAAATAAAATGTGAATGATGGCAAGAAATGCCAGTGAGCTACAGAGGTTCTTATCACTGACACCCACTCACTCGCCCCCAATGCCCACGCGCCACGGGAATGACATCAAACACACACCAGCCACAGGAGGTAGAGGGCAAGGATGACTTGCAGAGGAGCTGACCAGATCATGTTAATGTACGTGGCCAGGTCCATGAACCTCTGGGCATCCACAGACATGAGGTTGACGATCTCCCCGACGGTGGACGATTTTCTGGCTGAATTGGTGATCACCAGGGCCTGGAGACAAAGGAGAGGGAAAGAGGGTGAGTGCGACAGGCGACAGCCCAGCGCCCTCCCTCCGGGCCCACGTGGAGGAAGGAGACAGCTCAACAGTCGAGAGGCCACTGCTCTCTTCTCCTCTCCTGGTGGCTTATCTGCCTTCCCAGCCCATGTGTCTCATCACAAAGTCCACTCTCTTATCGACAGCACTCACTGCCTCCTCATCCTGAGCTCTTCAGTATGGAAGGGACCTCAGAGGTCGCCTAAACCAGGGCTTCACACACTTGAGTGTGTACGCACCCCCAGGGAGTTTGTTATCGTAGGACTGGAATAGGGACTCTGCATTTCTAACAAGCCCCCAGGAGATGCTGACGCTGCTGGTCCCCAGGTCACCCTGAAGGACCAAGGTCTCAGCCAGGGTTTCTCATCCTTGGCATTACTGACATTTGAGCCTAATTCTCTGAGGGCCCGTCCTGTGCCTTTTAGGATGTTCGGCAGCATCCGGGGCCTCCACCCACTAGATGCCCCCACCCCCAGCTATGACAATCAAAAATGTCTCCACACATTGCCAAACATCCCCTGGAGGGACACACATTCATCCTGGCTCTCCACGGTTTCACGCTGTCACCTGGGGAGTTTTAGAAATACTGATGCCTGGGTCCCACCCTCGGAGATCATGACTTAGTTGGTTGGGGTGTACCCTGGTCGTTGGAAGTTTCTGAGGCTCTCCGGGTGAGTCTAACTTGCAGGCAGGGCTGAGAGCCCACGATCAAGTCCATCCTTCCTGACTACCTGCTGAACAGTCTCTTCTTAACCCACGTGGCCCAGAGGCTAAGAAGTGAAGGGACCGAGGAGGTAATCCAGGTCCTGTAAGGCTGTCCATGCCCAGATACCTGCTGAGTATCTGTCACCCAAGGAACATACCATCTGCTCAGTTCAGATGGAGGGTTAGAACACGCTCACACACAGACTGTTGGCAGCACAGCACGGATTCAAACCTGGATCTCCCCAAATCAAGTGCCATCTAAGAAATTCAATTACCCGCAGCTGACCCCAGGGCCCCGGACATGCTGACCCCAGGGCCCCGGACACGCCGCAGGCTCGCCCTCGGGATCAGCTTTGCTAAGCCCTCAGGCCTGACGGTCACTCCCTGCCGCCCGCGGCCGCTCAGGCCACCGTCATGCCACTGCTCCAGAAGCTGGGCCTGAGAGGCGACCCGGCCAAGCCCCCAGGGGTTCCGCGGCGGCAGCGGGAGCCGCGGGCCCACCTTCCGGTACACAGCCCCGATGACGGCAGTCTTGATCCGCATGCCGCTGACGAAGCAGATGTGGAAGTACTGGTGCAGCACGAGGGTCTGCAGGCAGGCGCTGACGAACAGCAGCGCCGTGTAGAAGTAGCCCTGCCAGTCTGGGGCCTTCCTGTCGTTCACGAAGCTGATGAGCAACCTGTGGGGCAGCAGGGACAGAGCCCCACGTCAAAGACCGCGAAATGCGTGCGCGTGGGGCCAAGTCCTCTGGCTTCCGCGGGTGACCTTCTCCTGAGCCAGGCAAGGCAGGCACTCTCAACGCCAGTGTTATGGACGGGAAGCCCAACCCACGTGGCGATGCCCATGCCGGGGTGGGGGTGGGGGGTAGTAATCACGGCAGGGCGCGCAGCCCCGGGCTTCTCGCATTGATTGCTCTGCCTCATCATCCAAAAGTGACCAAGTAGAGAGCACAAGGGGCGGAGGGAGGGAAAGAGAACGAACATGTGGCACCAAAGAGACAGACAGGAGCAGGGAGGGAGGGAGGTGAACAGAGATGACGTCCTTTCAGGGTTGAGGCTGCAGCTTTCATGCAATCTGACATTTCCCTGCTTTTGGTTTCCCGAGATAATCCTCTATCTTCCCCCTTTTGGCTTCAGGGGAGCCTGGTAAGGTTTCTGTTACTTGCAACCAACGTGGCCTTAATTAAGATGGTTGTATTAAAGCAAAGCATCAGGCAAAGCAGGTAAGGAGGTAGAGGCCTGGCCCCGTGCCCTCGGGAGCAGGCCACGTGACCCTAAGGGAGGGTGAAGGGTGTCGCAAGTGGAAGGTCAAGGACGTGAAGAGCTGCCCGGCTGAGAGGGGAGAGGCCTTACTTTAAGATCTCTGGGCCGGTAAACATCATCAGGTCGTGCACAGCCTTGAACAAGAAGCTCATGAGGAAGTAGGGCCCAAAGGTCTTGTATAACACCTTGAACAGGGACGGGTTCCAATCCTTCTGGGGGGACTTGATGATCAAAGCCTCGGCCTCCTCGTTCACATCCACCTTGGAACTCCCTTTCGGCTTGGCGGGATCCTTGGAGGAGTACACGATCTTCACCGGCTGTCTGGAACATGAGGAGCAAGGAGCAGTTGTGGGGTCTGCCAGACACTCAGCCCACCGGCCAGGAGAGGGTAGGAGAAGGCCCCCCCAACAGGGAGGCCTAGCCAAAGAAAACCAGTCGCTGCAGAGAAGCAGCTTAGCACGGTGACTCTGACCACAGACTCAGGATCCTGGCCAGCTGTGTGACTTTAGGCAAGTGCCTTACCTCTCTAGGCCTTAGTTTCCTCATCTGTACAATGGGGAAATAGTAGGACCTACCTCACCTATACATGACTTAATATAGCTAAAAGGCAGAGAAAAGTGCCAACCCCAAAATGACCTACAGATTCAGTGCAACCTCTATCAGAATCCCAGCTGGCTCTTTATAGAAATGGAGAAGCTAATCTTAAAATTCATATGGAAACTCAAGGGATCCAAAAGAGCCAAAACAATCTTGAAAAAGAAAAGCAAAGTTGGAGGATTCACATTTCCCGACTTCAGAACTTACTCTGCAACAACCATAATCAAGACAGGCATGAGGCTGAGCATATACAGAGATCAATGCGACAGAATTAAAAATCCAGAAATAAATCTGATTGATTTTGACGAGGTTGTCAAGGCCGTTCAATGGGAAAAGAATAGTTTTTTCAACAAATGGTGTTGGGAAACTAGATAGCTGCAGGCAAAAGAGTGAGTTGGACCCTTACTTCACACCATATACAAAAATGAACTCGAAATGGAGGAAAGACCTAACATAGAGCTAAAACTATAAAATTCTTGGAAGGCAACAGAGGGGGCAAAACTTTAGGACCTTGGATTTAGCAATGGATTCTTAAATACGACCCCAAAAGCACAAGCAACAAAAGAAAAAATAAACTGAACTTCATCAAAAACTTTTGTGCTTCAAAAGACACCACCAACAAAGTGAAAAGACAACCCACAAAATGGGAGGAAATATTTGCAAATCAAAACTCTGATAAGGGACCTGTAACTAGAGCAAATAAAGAACTCTTACAAATCAATAAGAAAAAGACAACCCAACCATAAAAGGCGCAAAGAAGACATGCGAACGGGGTAAGCACATGTAATGTCGCTTAACATCTTAAGTCATCAGGGAAATGCAAATCAACACCAGGATGAGATACTGCTTCATACCCGCTAGGATGGTTATCATCAAAAAGTCAGATAACAACAAGGTCTGCAAGGATGTTGAGAAATCGGAACCCTCATACATGCCCCTGTGAAGTCCCCTCCCACTTGTAACAGGATATTGCAGAAATGATGGAGAGAGAGTGTCATTCCCAAGATTAGGTTGCAGAAAACACTGTGGCTTCTTTCTTGCCCTCTCATGGATCATTCACTCTGGGCAAAGCCAACTGCTGGGTCAAGAGGACACTCCACCAGCCTCCTGGAGAAGCCCCCATGGTGAGACCTTGCCAACAGCCAGCACAGTCTTACCAACCATGTGCAATGTGGAAGCAGGTCCACGGCCCCAGTCAAGGCTTCAGAGGACTGCAGCCATGACAGACCCTGAGCCAGAACTACCCAGCTAGACCCATCCCAGACCCCCGACCCAGAGACCCTGTGTGACATAGTAAATGTTCATTCTTATTTAAAGCTGCTACGTTTGGGGGTGACCTGTTATGTAGCAACACATACAGCTTCCCTCTCCCAAAATGCAGTCAAAGCAACCTCCTCAAAAGGCCAAACGTGGGCTCCATCCCTGAAATGTGCACCCAAGCTTCATCCCCATCGTCCACCCGACACAATCGTCCACTGCATGAGCTCACTGAACATCGTTTAATCACAGGGGATTCTTGCCTCTCCCATCTAAGCCACATCTGACCATCTGGACCAACTGAAACGCCCTCCTGGAGACCACAGCCTCCCAACCTGCCTTGGAGGAGACGCCCTCCTCCGTCCCCACTCCAAACCGTGGGCACTGGTCTGGGCTCTGTCAAGTCGGTATCCTTCCCCTCGATGCTCCTCACCCCAGGAAAGGACCAGAAACATGGGAATCATCCCTGAACCCTTCTCCTCCACGCTCCCAGCTCTAGTCAGGCACGTGTTGTGTCCATCCCACTCCCAGGATGTGTGCAGTCATCCATCCACGCTTTCCATCGCCACAGCCTCTGACCCATGCAAGTGACCATCACCAGGGCCTCCTCCCCACTCCCCCCATTTCCTTCCACTCTCGGTCCCTAACAACCAAGTCCCTGCACGGCAGCCGGTGGGATCCTCCTAAAGTGCATCACCCCAACCTCAGCGCCACTGCTGGCCTCCCACTGCATCCAGAATACAATCTAAAGTCTGGGTGAAGGTGTAGAATTTCCTACGGCTGCTGCAACAAATTAACACAAACTCAGTGGCTTGAAACAACACAAATTTAACATCTCATAGTTGTGGAGGTCAGAAATCTAAGGTGGCTCCATGTATCTTTGGGACCTGTCAGCTGTGGAAGTCTCCCTTCCTAGCCATGGAAGAGCACATTCTTGTTTATTGGAAAAGCTGTCACTATTTAACTGGTATCAGATTCTGACTGGCACAAGTAACATTCTTCACTTCAAAAACCTGGAGAGTACTGGGTTATTGGGCAAACATCTAACTACTGTTCAAATGTTTCTAGGAAGCTGAACTAATTGTTCTAATGGATGATGGAAAATATAACAAAATATCAAGATATCTAAAGCAATATGGACGAAGTCTTATTTAGCATCCTGTAGTACACTGCCAACTGTCATTTTATTTTTTTTATTTATTTATTTATTTATTTTGCGGTATGCAGGCCTCCCACCACTGCGGCCTCTCCCGTTGCGGAGCACAGGCTCCAGACGCGCAGGCTCAGCGGTCACGGCTCACAGGCCCAGCCGCTCCGCGGCACGTGGGATCCTCCTGGACCGGGGCACGAACCCGCGTCCCCTGCATCGGCAGGTGGACTCTCAACCACTGCGCCACCAGGGGAGCCCCACCAACTGTCATTTTAAATCTCAAGTACGGTATTTAAATGGAGAATAAAGGAGTGCTTCCTTGCTATATAAATAAAATGCTTGATTTGTACAGATTAAAAGAAAAAAGAAATCTAAGGTGGGCCTGCAGGCTCCATGGGAGAATCTGTTTTCTCCTTTTCCAGCTTCTAGAAGATGCTTACAGGGACTTCCCTGGTAGCGCAATGGTTAAGAATCCGCCTGCCAATGCATGGGACATGGGTTCAGTCCCTGGTCCGGGAAGATCTCACATGCCACGGAGCAACTAAGCCCGTGCACCACAACTACTGAGCCTGTGCTCTAGAGCCCGTGAGCCACAACTACTGAGCCCGCACACCACAACTACTGAGCCCATGTGCTGCAACTACTGAGCCCGCATGCTACAACTACTTAAGCCTGTGCGTCTAGAGCCCATGCTCCACAACAAGAGAATCCACCACAACGAGAAACCCGTGCACTGCAACAAAGAGTAGCCCCCCCTCACCAAAACTAGAGAAAGCCCGCGCAGCAACAAAGACCCAACGCAGCCAAAAAAAAAAAAAAAAAAACCAGCCCACACATCTGGGCACGTGGCCCCTGCCTCCACCTTCCAAGCCAGCCGCTCAGCATCTTCTCTCTCTCACCTCCTCCTTATAAGGACCCTTGTGATTATGACATCAGGCCCACCCCAATAACCCAGAATAGTCTCCCATCTCAAAATCCTGAACTGAATCCCATCTGCAAAGTCCCTTTGCCATGTAACATATTCACAGGTTCTGGGGATCAGGATGTGGCCATCTTTTTTTTGGGGGGGGTCATTCCACCAACCACAGAGGATTATTTCTATTTTTCGTGTTGTCAGTGTCACTGCGTAAACTCTTTCCCTGCTCACTTTACTGACTTCCCCTGAAGCTGGGATTCTGGCGGGGATTTTTAGCATGATTTCATTCAGCACACACATGCCCTCTTGGAAAGGAGGACAAGAAGGCAGGACCGGGGGGCAGGGAGTGGCTGAGTTGTTCCCCACTCCGCATTCATTTTCTGCACCACGTCCTAAGCTGGGCCCTGGCCCTGGGCCTGCCTGGGCTGCCACTGACCCAGGCTGTTTTCTGTGGCCAGGAGATGGGCGGCCAAAGGGCCAGGGAGAAGGTCTCAGGAGGGCAGAGAGGAGGAAGGCTCAGGCCTGGGGGGAAGGGGTCTAGAGAAGTGGAAGGGACCAGCTACGGCCGAGTCAGGAGAGAAAAAATACCCAGTGAACAAGAGCCCTCCAAGGGAAGCTGGCGCTCCTGGAGGGTGAGGAAGAAAGCAGGGCACCTGAATGGTCTGGCTGGGAAAGAAAGGAAAGTTGGAGAGGGAAGGTCTGAGTCAGAAGAAAACTGCTCAGGACAGGGGAACAGGAAGGGGTGGGGAAGCTGGAGGCTGGGAAGAAAAAGGAACTTGCTCACCCAGGGGATTTCGATATGGGCAAAGGTGCCCATTGCTCTCTCCTCCATGAATGCCCTGCTCTGGGCCGGGCCCGGGGGAGAGCCCCACCATCGAGCAGCCCCGTGAGAGAAACAGATCAGCCATGTGAGGGGGGCTATCATGGGGGCTTCCTGGAGAGGGCAACATCAAAGCTGAGACCTGCATGATGAGGGATCGAGTCCACTTGGGGAGGGAAAGGGTGCTCTAGGCAGGGGAAACAGGATGAGCAAGGCCTGGAATGAAGGGATTTTGAAAAGAGGTGAGGCAGCCCTTCCAAGAACCCCAAGTAACCAGGGCAGGGCTGAGAGAGCAGACTGGGAGGTGCGTGAACCAACCAAAGGGCCATGAGGAGCTACTGCAGGCTTTGTTTGTCATTTGTTAAACAAATAAGATCTCTAATGTTGAGGCAAAGGCAAAAACCTCAAACTTATAAAGATCACAGCTCAATTAAAACTAAAATTTCTGGATGTACTCTGAGCACTGTCTTTGATCCATGATACCCCGTATAATACGGAAGGGCAGATTTGACCTACAATTGCAGAGAATGGACTTTACACCCTTAACGCACATTTTCATTCTCCTCAGAGCTCACAATATACGGGATAACAGTTTTGGAAACCACAGATGGGCATGGCAGTCACCTCCCCGCTCCCACCCCTCCAGTCCCGCAAGGAAAGTATAGCCCTGGCAGGATTTTGACTGTGTTGGGCACAAATACAAACGACTCAAGATCATTCTTTCCCTTTTTGTTGTTGTCGTAGAGTGCTTTTTGTTTCTCAAAAACAGGCTGTCAAAAAAAAAAAAAAAAAAAAAACAGGCTGTCAAGGGGGTTTCTCACCCTCTGATGTCACAATGACTGGGCCAGAAACCAGACCCTCTTTGAGTACAGGACCATCCCAAAGAACAAGACCCTACCAGGCATCCATGTAGGTGAAGAGCCTACTAAAATCACCTAAGTCTATGGGGGGTTTTGTTTGTTTATTTGTTTGTTTTTTGCCACCACCGACGAGAGCTTGTGGGATCTTAGTTCCCCCACCAGGGATCGAACCCGCACCCCCTGCAGTGGAAGCACAGAGTCTTAACAACTGAACTTAACAACTAACAACTGGAAGTCCCCAAATCACCTAAATCTACACTCTTAACTCCAGCTTTGGCATAAATCCATACACAGAGTGTTTTTTTTTTTTTTTGCAAGTTTAAATATACCTCGATTTTTTTCAGAAATGCAGTCAGTGTGCAAATTAAGTTCTGTTCAGAAATTTGCCAAGCATGAATCACCACTTTGCAAAACCCTGTCCGTGAGGGTGATGATGGTTCTGATCTCCACAACCGCAAGACTGGGTCGGTCAGGATTTGCTGCTGCCACAGAGAAGGCTCCACTTACGAGCACTCAGCGATTCTTCATTCTCTATTCTAGCATGTGCCTGAGCGTTTACGCACAGACATACGTGGATGACGTTTTATTACAAATCCCTTGCCTTTTAGTTCTCTGTTAAAGTTGAGCAAGAACACTTTGTTGATTTTTAAAGTAAGATACATGAGTGGGTTATTTTTATATATTTCATTAAAGTACATTTAAGAAGGTGTTAACAATATCTTTATTACTCAAGGGGGTAATGGGTCTGAAAGGCTGGGAACCATAGCTTAACACCTGTATTTTGGAGCATTTTGTTTTCTTTGTTTTTGTTTGTTATTTGCTGCTTGCACTCCTTTATGAAATAGACACAATTAAGTAAAATGGTCGCCCTTCCTTTAAACACTACTGCTTTTTTATATATTGCTTTATTGGAGTATAACTGAGGTAAAATCAAGTTCACACATTTGAAGTGTACAATGTGATGAGTTCTGACATATTTACACACCTGTCAGACCATCAGGGAAACCAAGATAATGAACAGGCCCATCACTCCCAAAGAGCTCTCCTCTCTGAAATTTCTCCTCCCATCTCACTACCTCCCCCTACCTCAGGCAACCACTGATCTGATTTCCATCTGATTCCATTTTCTGGAATTGTATATAAATGGAATCACCTAGTATGTACTGTTGCCTGGCTTCGTTCACTCAGCGTAATTATTTAAAGATTTTCATGTGGCTGAGTGTACCAATAGTTCATTCTGTTGTTTTGCTCAGAAGTGTTCCCTTGCATGGATACACTGTGATTTGCACATCTATTCACTTGTTAATGGTTGTCTGGGTTACTTCCAGCTTTGGCCATCACACATAAAGCTGCTATGAACATCCCTGTACAAGTTTATGAACATATGTCTTCAGTTCTCTTGGGTGTACACCTAGGAGTAGAATGGTTGGGTGGTATCATAACTATTTAACTTTTAAAAGAAACTGCCCAGGTCTTTTCCAGAGCCGCCAAACCATTTTATAGTCATTCCAGCAGGAACCACAGTCCAAAATGGCCTTAACCTATGCGAGGCCATAAGTCGAGAAATTTCTACTCCATTTTGTTAAACTCAAAATCATCTAATGAAAACCAGTGAGGCACTGGATTTTAAAACCCAAAGGTCAGGGGAGCAGGGGAAGCAGCTCAGACCTGACTCCTGAGAGGAGCCACTCAGGGGTGAGGAGAAGAACTGGGGGCGGGGTGGGGGGGAGGTTGAGACCCAAGGCCAAGAAGCCAAGGCAGCCCTGCCCAGGCCGCAGTCACCTGCTCCCCGGGAGCCCTGGGAGCACAGGGCTCTCCCCTCCCCACCCATGCCCACAGGGGTCACAGGGCCGGATGTGGCTCACGCCGCCTCTGGGAACAGAGCCACTGACCCATCTGCCCCTACTCTCGCCCCACAAACCACCTTCCCCAGCACAGCCTAACTGGTTGATACAAAACAGAACTCCGGGCATGCCGCTGCCCTGTGTAAAACCCAGCGGTCTTCTCACCGCATTTGGGATCAACCCCTAAGCCAGTACCATAGCCTATGAGATTCCTGCAAACACTTCTACTTTATCTCCTCCTGTTCTCCCCACCTCTCACTCCACTCAAGCCATATGGGGCCCCTTGCTGCTCCATAAGAATGCCACACTCACCTCTACCTCAGGACCTTTGCACTAGCTGTTCCCGTGAAACGGAAAGCCCTTTCCCCACATTTGCAGGCGGCTTACTCCCTCCTTTGACACGAATCTCTGTTCAGAGAGGCCATCCCTGACCACCAAACCTGCATCACCTCCCACAGTCACTCTCACCCTCATTTCCCTATTTAACTTCATCATCACACTAAGGCTCTTCAAAGTTTCTCAACAGTGTGTGTTTGACTCCCAACTCCCTGTGTCCCACACGGAATGTAAGTAGCACCAAACAAGGAGCCTGTCTATCTTGTTCCACTCTCTGAACCCCCAGGGCCTAAACTGCACTCAGCATATCAGCAGTAATCAACTGCATCTGCTGAACGAACCAACGAAGGGCCAGGCCCATGATGAAGCTTTATGCTGTACGGCCAGTCCTCTTCCCACGAAGCCTCACTGCCAGCCCCTCCTACAACATCTGCAGCAACCGGCTCACTGGGTGAGCCCCACGGGACAGCACGGTGGGCATCCCCTGCCACCCAACGTGGGAAGGAGATGGAGCCAAGCAGTCAGCGAGGCTCGGGTAACTCAAGCTGAGGACGCAGCCTTCTCATCAGGAAGGAGGCTGCAGGCCAGGCCGGAGGAAACCAGAGACCCCACTTCTGCCTGAGAACCTCCAACTGGGTCACAGACATGGGACCCTGCCAGAGCCGTGTGTGCACAGAGCACCGGCCATCTCCTCACAACGCCCAACCACAGAGGCTCAAGCTCAATCCACCTCCCAAGGGACAACTTCTCCTCCGTCCGTGGCCACCCCGAACGGGCCACGGCACAGCCTCTCAAGCCCTCTGCTGATGTCCTGGTGGCCAGCACAGATGTCCCACATTCCCATCCACAGCCTCGGCCTGAGTGAAGACCTGGAACTGCTGCAGTGGGTGAGGAATCAGACCTAGAGCCTGGGCCTCTCTCCTGGGAGGCCAGCTGCTCTGCAGGGCCACACACCAGGCTGGGCTCTCGTCAGCCAGCTCTCCGAGGTGGACAACAGGCCCAACCCCGTAACAAAAACAGAAGTAATGACACCGTCCCCTGCCACCAAATCCCTCGTGATTCCTCTTCCGGCTCCTCTGGACGCAGGACGCGTCTTATGTCAACATCAGGTCCTGGTTTAATCGGCAGCCGTTTCTCTTTCTCACTGGTGCATAAAATAATGATGCATCACACAACTGATGACGTCCTAGATTTGATGAAATAAGGTATGTGCTGGGGAGGCCCTGGCCTGATTCCCCAAATAACCCGATGACAGAGGTCGGGGTTGGCATGCAGCTCTCGTCGGCGAGAGTCTGAAATCCTGGACACTGAGAGTGAACCCTGATGTAAACCACAGATTCGGGGTGACAATGCTGCGTCAATGTGGGCTCACGGGTTGTCACTAATGTGCCCCTCTGATGGGGGATGCTGACAGCGGGGGAGGGGTGCACCTTCTGCTCAGAACTGCTGTGAACCTAAAACTGCTCCAAAAAATAAAGGCTGTTGGAAAAAAAAAAAACCAGTACAGCCCAAATCACTGTCAAATGGGGGTTCTTAGGCTGAACACCTCAAGAAGTAGTTGACGTGGCGTGTTGAACCAAAACATTTAAAACAGCAAGAACATTCAGGATGCCAGATGCTCGGAGAGAAGCAGGGAAAATGAGACTGACTCGGGAAGGGAAGCGTCACACAGCCAGGTACACGCGCGCCAAGGTCACGGCAAACAAAATGGTTCTCCCACTTGACATCTTTCTCTCTTCTTTCCTACCCAAATTGTCTTAGCTACACGTCAGACTCTACCCCATTCTGCAGATGAGCAAACCATGGCTCGGAGGAGAGAAGCAGCCCTCCCAGGGCCATGAAGCTAGCAAGAGGTGGGAGGATGGAGCTATGGGGTCGCCCCAGTGAGTGCCCAGCTTCCCCGGGGCAGGATGCTTGGCACTTACTTTCTGGACTTTGCACATTCCTTCTTCCAGTTCTTTACCAAAACGGGCACAACTTGTTCTGACGTGTCCTCCTTATTCAGGGACCAGAGGTCAGTGCTCTCCAGGGGTTGGCGGTAGCCCTGGACCATCATCCTGTGGCCGAAACACAAGGCGCGAGGCGATGAGAGTCAGAAGGAAGAGGACGACGACGACCCTCCCTGCCACCACGGCCATGCGACCGAAGGCGGCCGCAACTCAGGAATATCTCAATAAGCAATAATGGACATGTGGGCACATTAAATCATTATTGCTAATTTTACTGTTAGGTCACCCAGGAAAAATAGCCTCATTTTTAGAGATACATACAGAATATTTAGGAGGAATAGCAGGATGGCTCTAATTTACTTAAAAAAAATTTTTTTAAGGCGAATATGACAAAGCATTAACCATCGTTAAATCAGGTGATGAGTTTATTGAGGTTTATTAAACTAGTCTTTCCGGTTTGAATACTTTCATGATAAAAAGCAAACCTAATATTTTAACTTGTTATTTTGAAACATTTCAAACTCAGAGAAAAATCACAGGAATCTTACAAAGAATTCCTGTCTACCCTTCACCTAGTTCACGACTGTTAACATTTTAAGTGTGCTGTATCTGCCTCTGTCTCTAGATACATACATATGCAAACACATACAGGCAGAGCTCAGAGATGCTGTGGGTTCGGTCCCAGACCACCGTGATAAAGTGAATATTGCAATAAAGCAGGTCACAGGAATTTTTTGGTTTCCCATATTAAAGTTATGTTTACACTATCCTATAATCTATTAAATGTGCAATAGCATTATGTCTAAAAAAAACAACAGAGCTTAACTTAAAAATACTTTATTGCTAAAAAATGCTAAGCATCATCTGCACCCTCAGCGAATCCTAGTAATAACATCAAAGGTCATGGATCACAGATCACCATAATAAATATAATAATAATGAAAAAGTTTGAAGGATTGTGAGAATTACCAAAATGTGACACAGAGACACAAAGTGAGTGAATGCTGTTCCCAAAATGGCGCCAACAGACTCGCTTGATGCAGGGTTGCCACCAACCTTCAATTTGTAAAAGACACAGTGTCTGCGAAGCGTAATAAAATGAAGTATTTCAGGGCTTCCCTGGTGGCGCAGTGGTTGAGAGTCCGCCTGCCGATGCAGGGGACATGGGTTTGTGCCCCGGTCCGGGAAGATCCCACATGCCACAGAGCGGCTGGGCCCGTGAGCCATGGCCGCTAAGCCTGCGCGTCCGGAGCCTGTGCTCAGCAGTGGGAGAGGCCACAGCAGTGAGAGGCCCGCGTACCGCAAAAAAAAAAAAAAAAAAAATGAAGTATTTCTTTTTTCTGAACCATTTCATAGTAGGTTGCAGACTCTACACATCTTTACCCCTAAATATTAGTGTGCATCCCCCTAAGAGAAAGGACGTGCTCTGATATAACCAGAGTACAATGACCAAAATCAGAAATACGAGCCTGGCTGGCGTGACCTACAGTCCATATTCAAATTACACTGTCCTAGCGCTGTTCTTTAACAGCAACTGAAAAATAGTTAAGTAAGACAAATATTAAATGGAAAAAAAAACCCCACAATGTTTGTAAAAAGTTTATAAAGACAAGGAAAAATGCTTGGGGGTTGGGGGAAGGATTTTAATAATCCCCAGTAGGATGCTGACAATGTAAAGAAAAAACTGTGCAAATAAAAGGAGGGCGAGAAGGGGGTGTATTGAGCTGTGGACGGCGGCTGCCTCTGGTGCTCTGTTGCTATTGGTCCACACTCTTAGCCACTTTTCCTACGGTGCACGGGCATTATTTTTCTCATGGGGGGAAACAATGCCAACAACAATAATTACACCTAATGCAGAAAAACAGCCAAATTCAAAGCTGAGCCAAGAGCGTGCAGCTTCTTGCCCAGGCCAAGCCGTCCACAGAGGTGCAAGCTGTTTAGGTTTATGCATTTATCACATGAACGTGGGGTCAGGGTGAGTGTCTCTGAGACCCCGGCCCAGGGGAGGCACACTCAGGACACAGCCCCATCGGAAAGGGCAAGGGAGGAAGAGCAGGGGCCCTAGTGGCACACTCATGGCCCAGCAGCCGCCCGAGGTTTGGGGACCAGGACTTACCCTGTGATCCACCAGAAGGTGATCCTGGAAAGGAAGGAGGCGCTGGATTCTGGGCAAGGATTCTAGTGGAAAGAAAGCACAAGGGTGGGGAGCAAAGGGGAAATGAATGGTTAAACTTCTCATCTACGCCAGCTCTAGGCAGGGAGCAGCCAGCTGACTGCTCTTCCTCCCAGTGGACCAGCGGCCACTCTCACGCCACTGATTTTCACCCTGAAAGGGCTTCCCTCCTGAGCACCAGTGGCCTGGAAAGAAACACCTGGCAGCTCCTCCAGTTTCACCCGGTAACTGCTTCCTGAGTGTCTGCTATGTGTAAAAATGGTACAATGCGTCCCATACCTGCCTTATCTTATATCCCCACAGCAACCCAACAAACACGGCCCTACTGTTGTCCCTGCTTTAGTTCATTCATTTGTCCATTCAACAAATACTTATTGAGCATCTACAATGTGCCAGGCACTCAACGATGTACTAGCATGATCTCATATCCTCACAGAACCGTAAGTGTGGTACTACTAGTATTCCTATTTCTTTCATTCATTCATTCACTCATTCAACAAATATTTTCTGAGCACCTACTATGTGCCTGCCACCTGTACACAAATCTGGACAAACAGACATAACCCTAAACCAGGGCAATAACACCACCTGCTAACACTCTCTGCTAGCTAGCTCTGTTTTAAATGTTTTACACAAATTAACTCATTTAATCTTCGTAACCACACTATGAAGTAGGTAAAAGCATCATCCTCATTTTGTAGTTAAAGAAACGGAGGCGCAGAGAGATGAAAAGACTTGCCCGGGGTGCCAACAGCTAGAAGCAGCGGAGATAGAATGTGAGCCCCAAACAGTCAGGGTCCAGAGAGAGACATTAATCAAACGATCACGTGAACAAGTACAAAACCGCAACTGTGACAAGGATCATACCCCGAAGGCAAGTCAATATTACCAGTGAGATCACTGGTATCTCACTGGGCTGATCTAATTGACAGAGGTCACGAAAGGCGCCCCTGAGGAAGATGGTCAAGCTGGGGAAGGAACTCTACCATTTTTGTAACTTTTTGCGAGTCAAGTTATTTCAAAATAAAATGTTATTAAAATTTTTTAATTCCTTATCTTTCAGAGATACATATTGAAATGTTTACATGCGATGCAGGGTAAATAGTCCATGGCGGTCATTATACCATGCTGTCCACATTTGTACACATTTGAAAGTTTCCATCATGAAAATCTTCCCCAGTGAGTCAAACAAGAAGCCTGGGCTGAGAACCACCAGGTTTCACTCTGGGGGCCATGAGGCATGGGGAGGTTCTGGTCCTACCAGCCCGGGAATCATCTGGGGAGCTTTGTAAACACAGGTGCTGAGAGTCCCAGCCCAGACCAACTAGATCACTCTCTCTGGGGCTGGGGCCCTGGCATCAGTATGTCTTTAATCAGATGCAGCTGGCCCACAGACCTATATTCTAAACAAACCTAAAGCCAGATGGCCCTGGGTTCAAATCCCAGCTATGCCATTTTCTAGCTGAATGACTTTGGGCAAGTCCTTTCACCCCAAAGTCTCAGTTTTCGCATCTGGGAATTGGAAGCGGTCAGTCCCACTGCTCAGCCTACCTCATGGGACTGCAAGGAGGGACAAGTGGAATGAGGTCCATGGGACCTCATTTTTCCAACCTAAGGCCGCAGCATTATTCCTGGAGCAGGTGGTGGTATTTGCTTTGTAGGCTGGCTTTTCTTCCGGAAGTGGGTGGGTTGTCACGGAATCGCAAATACACTTCAACTACAGCCCAGTTCCCTAAGGTGCTGGCAGAGAAGGGGATGGGGGCGGGATACAGCTGGCAATGACTCATTTATTTCTTAAGCAAATAATGAGGGAGGATCTGCTTATATGCCAGGAGGTGGCTAAATACATCCAAGACTGAGCTACGCAGGAGAGACAGTGAGGTCCCAGCCCCGTACTGCCTCTCGCCTCGGAAGAGAGGGACAGTAAGCAAACCAAGATGCAAATAAATATACAACTATACACGGTGAGAGCTGTGACAACAACAACAAAACAGGGTCCCGGCAGGGGTGGGAGCCAGGCTGGGGGGCGTCCATGCGTGAAGCAACATGAAGCAAGGTGGTTAGAGGGAGGTTTGAATCCCAGCCCTGCCACTTACTAACTGAGGGGCCTGGGCCAAGTTACTTGGTGATGATGAGATTAAATGAGATAAAACCTGTGAAGTACTTAGGCGACAGTTCCTGGTGCAGAGTAAAAGCTCAAGCAATGACATCAGCAGTATTAACATGAATACTAACGGTAAACACAGTAACAAGTCCGCCATTTCCTGCAGACCGTGACACACCAAGAACTGTACCAGACGCTTCACATCAGGGCTGGCAAAGTCAGGCCCACAGTCCGGCCACTTGCAAAATAGTTTTATTTGGACACGGCGATGCCCATTCATTTCCGTACTGTCCACATCTGCTTTTGAGCTACAGTGGCAGAGCTGAGTACTTGCGACCGAGACCATGTGCTCTACGAAGACTAAAATATCTACTATCTGCCTCTTTACAGAAAAAGTTGGCTGCCCCCTGCTTACATCAGACCTCACGACACCAAAGATGGCGATTCTTAAGGGGAGGAACTAGAACTCAAACGCGGGCCTTCTGCCTCCAAATCCAGCCTTCTTTCAGTCTTGGCATCAACACAGAGTCAGCCCTGCACAAAGAAGCCCAGCCAAGGGGGCGAGTGGGGGCTGAAGTGCAGCTGGTCCTGGGCCTGGGGGCGGCAGGACTGCATTGGCTGAAAGGACGCAGGGCCTTTCTCAAACTCATCCACCCAGAGCGGGCCAGATGCCTTTTTCTAACCTGCACAGAGGCCTGGTGCAAACTGTCAGGGTGTCAGGCTTATACACACAGGGGCCTCACAAATCCTGGCATTGTTTCAAAATCAGGCAAGCCCAGCTGTGGGTCAAGAACAAAGCAACCTAGACTTATCATGATCATTTTGTAAATGTATAGAAATGGCAGATCACTATGCCTACAGCATTGTAGGCCAATTATACTTCGATTAAAAAAAAAAAAGGGACATGTAAACACAGAATTCAAACAGGTCTGCAGTGAACAATATTTACAATTGTTATAATGATGCAAACACTAATTACTGATGTAATTTAAAGTATGATAAAATTGGGGGGAGAGGATGAGGAAGGAGAGGTGGAGTTATTCAATCTTCATCTCAACATTTATAAAGTTAAAAACTGCTCTTTTGGGCATTCCCTGGAGGTCCAGTGGTTAGGACTCCACACTTTCACTGCTGAGGGCCAGGGTTCAATCCCTGGTCGGGGAACTGAGATCTCAAAAGCCACGCAGCACAACCAAAAAAAAAAAAAAAAAAAAACTGCTTTTTTCTTTTCCTTTTATTCGAGAAAACAGATGTTATTAACTAAACCAACTGTGGTAATCGTTTCACAATATATGTAAATGAAACCATCAATGCTGTTATACCTTAAACTTAATCAGTGATGTATGTCGATTATTTCTCAATAAAACTGAAGGAAAAGAACAAAGCAACCTGTCAGCTACATAACTGAAGGTGAATTCATTCCCTTTGTACCCAATTGTACCCAAATGGAGTCCTACCCCTAAGACCATAAGAAATGACGGCCCAGCGGGGAGAAACTAATCCTCACTCCGGCTAGTAAAAATCCCAGCCCCTGCGAGAAAATGCACCCTCCAGATGCAGTAAGGCTGGATCAGCAACGTGAACACTTCAGCTTCTACTGTGCACAATCCAGGAGCCTCCTTAAGCTCGGCTCCCCACCGCTCCTCCCTCCTCTGGACCCAGATCCAGATGTTCAGATAATCAGAAGTCACATTGGGCAGACACCGGCTCCTGTCACCAGCACAGATAAAAAATTACATCAGTTTGGGAGCTGGTTTCTGGAAGTCCCTATCTGACATGAGAGGCCTCATGTGATAACAGACAATTAGAGTTCCGAAGTAGTCAAGAACTGATAATTAAAGAAAGAAGGAAAGGGACTTCCCTGGTGGCACAGGGGTTAAGAATCCACCTGCCAATGCAGGGGACACGGGTTCGAGCCCGGGTCTAAGAAGATCCCACATGCTGTGGAGCAACTAAGCCCACACGTCACAACTGCTGAGCCTGTGCTCTAGAGCCCTCGAGCCACCACTACTGAGCCCACGTGCCGCAACTACTGAAGCCCGCGCGCCTTAGAGCCCGTGCTCCACAACAGGCGAAGCCACTGCAATCAGAAGCCCTCTACGAAGAGTAGCCTCAGCTCGCCGCAACTAGAGAGAGCCCATGCACAGCAATGAAGACTCAATGCAGCCAAAAATAAATTAATAAAATAAGAAAGAAGGAAAAAAAAAAAAGGAGGCCGCTGGATAAGGATCCAGGCAGCGTTCCATTCAACCAAAACCAAGCAGAACTTCTCGAGGTGGAAAAGACAGGGCTGCTGGCTGGGGGCTTCCCGGCCTCTAAGACTGAAATGGAGTAACTCCTGTCCCAGGAGGAAGGAGGATTGTTAACTGATCCCCCATTTGGTTAGAAACAAGAATAATTCAGGGCTTCCCTGGTGGCGCAGTGGTTGAGAGTCCGCCTGCTGATGCAGGGGACACGGGTTCGTGCCCCGGTCCAGGAAGATCCCACATGCCGCAGAGCGGCTGGGCCCATGAGCCATGGCCGCTGAGCCTGCGCGTCCGGAGCCTGTGCTCTGCAACGGGAGAGGCCACAACAGTGAGAGGCCCGTGTACCGGGGGAAAAAAAAAAAAAAAAAAAAGAAACAAGAATAATTCAGACAGGCCCTGGCTGAAGGCGGAGGAAGAGGAGCAGGGAGGTTCATGCAGAGAGCTGCATTCTTTGGCATCTCTACCTGGTGCAGGTAATTTGGCCTGAAACTATGAGGTTTAAACTAATTTGGTACACAGCCCCCCAGGCACTGGTTCTCTGAGAACTGGTCACCCGTGACCACAAGGCACTCTGAGGACCTTTGTCTGGGCCCTCAGCATTCTGGTCTTTCTGTCAGAAACTCTCTGGGTCCTCACCCACCTTTTCTGGTTTTGA